GCGATGGCCTCCACCTAGTAGCGATGGCCTCCACCTAGCATAATACCTTTCACCTGATATTAATTAGTAGGAAGGACCCTACTGGGTGGAGGCCATCGCTATTAGGTGGAGGCCATCGCTATTCAAGGTGGAGGCCATGGCCATTAGGTGGAGGCCATCGCTACCAGGTGGAGGCCATCGCTACCAGGTGGAGGCCATGGCTACTAGGTGGAGGCCATCGCCATTAGGTGGAGGCCATCGCTACCAGGTGGAGGCCATCGCTATTAGGTTGGAGGCCATGGCTACTAGGTGGAGGCCATCGCTATAAGGTGGAGGCCATCGCTATTAGGTTGGAGGCCATCGCTACTAGGTGGAGGCCATCGAAATTAATTAGGTGGAGGCCATCGCTATTAGGTTGGAGACCATCGCTACTAGGTGGAGGCCATCGCTGTTAGGTGGAGGCCATCGCCATTAAATTAGGTGGAGGCCATCGCCACCAGGTGGAGGATATCGCTATTCAAGGTGGAGGCCATGGCTATTATATAGGTGGAGGCCATTGCTATTAGGTGGAGGCCATCGCTATTAGGTGGAGGCCATCGCTACTAGGTGGAGGCCATTGCTATTAGGTGGAGGCCATCGCTATTAGGTTGGAGGCCATCGCTACTGGTGGAGGCCATCGCTATCGCTACTAGGTGGAGGCCATCGCTATTAGGTTGGAGGCCATCGCTACTAGGTGGAGGCTATCGCTGTTAGGTGGAGGCCATCTCATTAGGTGGAGGCCATCGCTACCAGGTGGAGGCCATCGCTATTAGGTGGAGCCCATCGCTACTAGGTGGAGGCCATCGCTACTAGGTGGAGGCCATCGCCATTAGGTGGAGGCCATCGCCACCAGGTGAAGGCCATCGCTATAAGGTGGAGGCCATGGCTACTAGGTGGAGGCCATCGCTATTAATTAGGTGGAGGCCATCGCTATTAGGTTGGAGGCCATCGCTACTAGGTGGAGGCCATCGCTGTTAGGTGGAGCCCATCGCCATTAGGTGGAGGCCATCGCTACCAGGTGGAGGCCATCGCCATTAATTAGGTGGAGGCCATCGCTATTAGGTTGGAGACCATCGCTATTAGGTGGAGGCCATCGCTGTTAGGTGCAGGCCATCGCCATGGCTACTAGGTGGAGGCCATCGCCACCAGGTGGAGGATATCGCTATTCAAGGTGGAGGCCATGGCTATTATATAGGTGGAGGCCATCGCTATTAGGTGGAGGCCATCGCTATTAGGTGGAGGCCATCGCTACTAGGTGGAGGCCATCGCTATTAGGTGGAGGCCATCGCTATTAGGTTGGAGGCCATCGCTACTGGTGGAGGCCATCGCCATTAGGTGGAGGCCATCGCTGTTAGGTGGAGGCCATCGCCATTAGGTGGAGGCCATCGCTACCAGGTGGAGGCCATCGCCATTAGGTGGAGGCCATCGCTACCAGGTGGAGGCCATCGCTATGAGGTGGAGGCCATGGCTACTAGGCGGAGGCCATCGCATTAGGTTGGAGGCCATCGCTAGCTGCTAGATGTTTCATAGAGGACTTGCCACGTACACATGAAACATGTCTTCTCAACGCGTACATGTAGCATCCAGAAAAAGAATTTGCTTCAGAGCAAGAACACATTCTCTTCACTGATCTCAACCTCCACATTATGCATCGTGGACCCACGATTTCTCATGTTGAAGTGAAGTGACATGATATGGCCCTTTTGCATGATATAAACCAGAGGGAGACAATTAATTAAACATGATCCACAGCTGTCAGTTCTTTGTCATCACCGTCATTCACCATTCACCACTGCTCCCCGGTTCCCCTTCCCAGAAGGTCCTACTGGGTGACAGCCGTGGGTGCCTCACCTTCCTGTAGTGTTTCTTCCACTCGGTCGAACTGGAAACATGCTTTGGGCTCCAGAACATGCGATAGAAGATAGGTAGAGCATGGTAGAGCATGGTAGAGCAAATTATAAATCACAAGTCCCACAATTGCCCACATCATAATTGGGTTGCATTGCGCAGCAATATGGTACAGGATGTTTGCTGTTATACTGGCAGAAGCTGGCGCACAAGAAGGGTCAGCTTCGTCGAACATCACTTGACTCATGACTCATCACAGCTGGGCCAAGTGGGACCGTCCCTGGGATGCTCGTCCTTCAGTTATCGGAGTAGAATGAAGCTGCTCCTCTTAAGTCGTATTAAGTGCTCTCCTAACAACTTTACCCATTGGAACGATGGTGATCGGTGATGAGCGATAAGGAGGATCATGCCGAGAGTTGTCCCACTACGTAGTGGTAGTAGTAGTGATGGTGGTGGTGGTGGTGGTGGTGGCGATGGTGTTTTGATGATTGGCTTTTCTCCAGGTGGCAGCTTGCCTGACGAGTCGCGCTCACAGTGCAGTGGACAGCAAAGCAAGTCTTGGACACCTCTGAAGCTGTGGGAAACGTTCACCGAAGACTTTGAAGAGATCTTAGGATCTGTGTTGCTGGGCTGCTCGGCTTGACTTGAAAAAGCAAAACAGATTGATGTAGCCTTTTGACCAATAACCCTGCCCATGTGGATTGAGAAACCTCTTCATAATATGGGGGTTCGGGGGTTATTATTTAGTTATATATATACATATTTAAGAGTCTACATTATCAACGCCATGCCACCAGAGTGAACGACCAAGTCCATTGAGTTCAGGTGGAACAACCAGCCTGGGGTGAACCGGCACGTGCCTTCCATTCTTGGAGGGCATGTCGGGGAAATCGTAGGCCTTTCGGTTTGTCCTTGATGAAGATGCTGAATGTGTTGCTGCTTCGTGAGAAGATCTATAATCTACAATATGCACCTTATTTTTGGATGCCCTGACGGCCAGTTCGGACGTTGCGCGGTCTTAAACATGTGGTGTTGCACTTTTGTTTTGATTGATTTCAGACTCAGAATAGCATCACTCCTATCACTCCGGATTTCCGAAGTCTCCCAGAGGGAATCCCAGAAGCAGATTCCTAGGCTTTGCTTTGACATCACTTCTCACTGCTTTGCTGCCAGCTGGTGGCCTGGGCACTGTCGCCTCCGTTGGTGGCCCCTTTTCGCTGTCCGCAAGGGCAGCGGTGCTGGCAGTGGCCTTGCCCTTGCAGTTTTGCGAGCATGCGGCTGTGCCTTTGGCCGTGGCCTCCTGGCTGGCTCTCTTCGAGTTTCATGATTTTCCTGGTTGACCTGGACGGGATGAACTCATGACTCATGACCCATATGCAACAGATACGATATGCATAAACACACACATGCATACATACCGTACCATACTAATACCTTACCTTATCTTATCTTACCATACCGTAGAAGCGGACCTGTTGGGCAGCTTGAGACTCATCCCGCGCGCAGCCCGTGGCCCGTATCGTCAGATGTGGAAATGTCACCATTCTTTCCTGACCATCAAGACTTGAACTGAGAGACCAAGAGAACCATGTCACCATTCTTTCTTGTCTTGGACTTGAGAACCAAGAGAAGAGAACCACGTTTGTCTTGAACCTGAGATCCGACGTTCGTGGGTGATTCTGGACCAACGGGCGCCGGAACGGAAGTTCATTTTTGCTTCGTTTGAGACCTCAGAGGCCCCAGGCTACACGGAAGTGTCGCCATGATCTTTGGGAAGAGTACCACTCTACCACTGCTGGTGTGGCCATTGAATATGAAGGGCCAATTGGCCACTCTTTTGCCCTTTCCTACTGAAGCTGCGTGTTACTACTAAGGCTGTGGAACATCACGTAAGTTGGGTGTATATAGTTTACATCGCCACAAGGTTGTTTAAATACTTTTCATAAATATACAATGAGCGAGGAATCTCGAGTGAATAGCTACCTGGGCCATTCACCTTTGATTATCCTGCAAATGGAAGTTGCTGCTCGATGCCGCTGAACTTTGCAGAACTGTTTGCCTGGTAGAGCAGGGGGCTTGAAGGTCTCACCAGGTCCGTGTTGAATTTTCTATCAACCAGTGGCCAAACAAGGATGAACATGCCATTCACGTCGTGAACATACCGAGACGCCGCCGGTTTAGATGCACAGAGACGCCGCCGCGAACAGTGTCGTCGCGAGCTCATGCCATGTTTCACCAAGGCTTTGCAGAAGGCCGGCGCCACAGGTGTCTTCGGATGTAGAGAGTATGGTTTATATAGATGGCACAGACCCTACTGACCACTAATAGACCACTACAGGCTATAGATGGGGACTATTCGGGATCCTTATTGTGACGACTTCGTATTTTGGCCTTTGTTCGGGGGACTTAGCACCAAGTCCATGAGGAATGTTTTTCCAAGTCCACCTTCCTCCGCTTGATGCTCCTTTGTCCGATTTTTGCAGCAAAAAAAAGAAGTGAAGCATCTTCTTTTGGGTTGAGTTTTGTGTCTTTCCCCTTTTTTCCAACTAAACACGTGAGCCTCCCCCCGATTGCCCTAATAGGGCGGCGGGGGAGCGGCTTCGAAGAAGCGTGAGCTTTCCTGCGCCCTAAAATAGCTACTTAAGCTACCTAGCTGCACCTAGCTACTACCTAGCTACCTCTAGATACTACCTTCTGACCCTCGGATCTCTACGGCCGACCCTCGGATCCCGTGTCGACCTGAATCACAGCTCCAAACAGACGATATATTGTTCGGTATGTGTATAGGTGTGTGTAGTATATTGTAATATTCATTGTGGTCTTCTTATTATTTAGCTTCCCTTTTATTTTAGGTAGATAGATGTAGATAGATAGACCGTATTCTTTTGAGTGCAAGGGGATGTGAACTGGGAAGGTTCAACCGGGGATCCAACAGTAGAAAGGGCGCCAGGCAGAGCTGCCAGGGCTAGAGTTCGAAGGGCGCTTGATTCTCCACACATGTTGGGGTGTCGCCATCAACTTGGGGATTGCTCCGGGTGAACCTCGCCAAGCCCTTCCCTCCAAAGGCAGCTTGTTTGTTGGTTTTGGTGTTAAAAATTCCCATGACTGCAATCAATCAAGAAACCGAGTGCAATAACCCAGAACTGAATGGCTAAAACTTCAGATAGGGCCACCCAACAGTGGATATGAAATGATATTTAGTAAATAAAGCAAGCCGAATGGGATATGTTCATTTCTGATCCATCCCCAGGTGGTCTTGCCTTCGCCACTTTGGCCTCTCTTCCTGCAATCAACTCAGCCTCCTTGGCGTTCATCGCGCACATCGCTGGCGGCCGCTCCGCCCTTCAGGCTCGGTGGAGAACTGGGAACGAGGAGATGCAGAAATGGGAGAACAGGGGGGAAGACTCAGGAGATTTGGACAGTGGAGGGCCTTGGGGTGACATGGGGATGAGAATGTTGATGTTCTAGGGGACAGGGAGTGTCTCATGAATTGTTTGCTTGAGTCAAAGAGAACACAGTTTTGCAACATTCCCTAGAAGTGGCCTATGACAGCATGCAGCTGAACTGATTTGTCAAGAAGAGCACTCGCAACATCATTTGCCTAGCACCACCTGTTGGGTCTGCTGCACCCGCTTGAAAGGGGCCCAGATAGAAGACAGAAAATCGCAGAAAGGTGACATTTCTTATTTGGGAAGAGGGAGGTTTGCATTGACTCAAGGTTTAGAGAGACCTTGGAGCCAGGCTTAGCTGCAGACCAGCAGGCGACCCCTTAGTGTATTATTAGTATACTAGTATGTATATATATATATTACGACTATTGCTGTATATAAATTTAATATATGTCAAACATATTCTACTATATTTGGTTTATAAGTTACGCAATATATGTGCCCTCCAAGCCACGAGCCCCGAGTTTGGCTCACTGGACCCAATGCCAGTGACCAACTTTCAGCATTTGAGCTGCACCATTTAAGAGAGATACATGTAAGCGAGTGAGCAGAGCAGATGGCATAAATACCAAATAGTGCCGCGTGCTTTTGAGATGTCGATCCCAGATCTCTAAGCACACTGGTACGTTTGCCGAGGTAGATGTACCTTCGACTCTATCTAGATCCCGGATCCCCCTTGATCCTCAGGTTCTTCTGAGTGTTTGGCTTTTTGGTATGGTCTTGAGCTATTTGGCGGATTGGGCGCAGCTAGAGCTCCTCCAGGTGCTCGCGCCTGGGTGGGGAAACATGCGACGCTGAAACCTGGGCAGGTTTCACCTCCGATGATTCGTGTCAATGTGAGATTTTTTGGAAAAGCTATATTTGATCATAACTTCGCCGTTCCAGGTTCCTTATCGGAGCAAACACCACTGAAGAAACCAATTGCCGACCCCTCAAACCGAATCTATTTCGAGTTCTCACGTCCCTCCTCATACCAACATACTCCAACCTCCACCCTCCCAAAAGTGCAACAAAACGCCACACTAAGCTGGAGCACTCCCACGCTCACACTACAGGTGGGTCACTCGGAAGAAGGCTTACCTGCTTGGTTCGTGAAGCTCAGCAAGCCGCTCATGGGCGCCTTGCTGAATTCTTGGTTGACACAGCATGCTGCAACCCATTTAGAAATGCACTACCCTGGCTGCGTTTTGCACCTTTTAGGGTGCAGCCATGCCATGCTGGACAATGGTCACCGATCGCTCGAAAGCGTGCAGGGGCAGGGATACTCGCATATCAGACGTCAGAAATGACCGGTCGTGCTCCGAGGTGTGATCTCTTTGGGCTCTCTTTGGCGAATCGCTGGTCACCGTTGGGCACGTGACACAAAGAGTCGGTGCAAATGCAAAGAGTCGTGACCGCACGTCAAGTCCGCTCCAGGAGTGGAGCGGCTCGGCGAGCAGATCGAAGTTCGCGAAGCCTTCGAAAGAGTTTGAAAGAGAAAGCTTGCTGTTTGCATATGTGGTGTGCAAAGCCAAAGGAGTTCAACTGGGTCAGTCTTCCAAGGCCAGTCTACCCCCCTGGAAGGAAGAAAGACCTTTCAACCCATTGGGCCAGGGCTGGGGCCTATTTCGATGCATGCCCTTGTTGACGTCGTAGTGGGCCGCCGGTGGGCCACATGGAACAGTGATTTTCGGTAATTTCCATGTTGGATCATTTGAACGAAACTTATTAACTTCCGCACTGGACACAAGGAGGACCAAGTACAGTTGCGCCTCTTCAGCACGGCCTCAGATTGAACTTGAACTCTTTTATGGGCTGTGATTGCTTCAGTGAGAGAGAGAGAGAGAGAGCAAGCTCTCCCGAAACCGAAGCACAGCCCTGAGTTCTGCAGAATGCTGCCAATGGCGTCTTGAACCAACAAGATGCTCCTCCCAGTTGCAGATGGGAGGGTTGTTGGGATCTCGCGTAGCTAAGCGGCTAAGCGCGGCGGCGAGTGGCATCCAAAAAGGGCGAGGTCCGATCCAAAAGATGGTTTGAGCCTGGGGAGGCCTCAAACAACCGGATTTGCTCAAACCAAGTAGAAGAAGAAACAGTGAAGAGGAGTGAGGAGTATATAATTATGGGAGCAGAACCCAGACATACCGAACCTTGGATGCCCAATATACACCCGCGGACGCATACGGCAGTCCACATTGGACGATTGCTTTTTGCGACACAAACAAAGAAAAGGTGAAGGAATAGAGAGAGAGAGAGCTTATGCGGCATAAGTGCACGCTTGCGGCACAAATGGATGCTTTCTTACAGCGTTCTCTGGTTTCAAGTTTATGACGTTTGCGAGTACTTGGTTTGATGTTCCAAACAGCTAACTGGTACCAACTTGCTAAGGCCCTTGGATAGAAAGGGCAAAGTAATTAGTTTGATCAATACAACTTGCTAAGACGTTGATTTCGCAGGAAGACTCGGTTCCGGTTTTAGATATCTCACCGGAAGTCGGAAGGAGAGACTTACAAAATGAATGAATATGAGGGTGAACACAAGCTATATCGAGCTATAACATATCACGACCCACCAAAATGTGTTGACATGTTTTGACTTGTTGGTGACCTGTTGCAGGGTCCCCACCAGTCCTGGTAAACAGTCCTGTTTTGAAACAGCATGTTCGCAGCAGCCATGCTATCCACCCGTTGTTTGTGCTTTGTTTTCAATGTTTTTCGACCTCTCAGCAGAAAAGCAGCTGCATCAGGCCCGAGCAATGCCCCGAATCCAGAGCCAGCAGCTTCGTCCCCGGCTTGGCGCTCAGAGTCTTCATTTGGAGCTTGGTCGGGGTGGAAGGATGGGCCAAGAAGCTTTGGCAATCCTTCCGAAATAGCCTTCCCTCCAAGAATCATGGAAACTGGCCAGGACCCCCTTGTAGAGTTAAATGGTCTTCCAAGGGCCGGGGCCGACATATAGGTCCTTAGCTGATGGTTCCAGGAGTGTCACTTCCAGACTTAACCAGACTGTTTGTGCCGAAGGAGCCATACAGCCATGCAGCCATGCACCCAGGCACTAGACTCTTTCCCCGCAAGCAAGCACAGTCGGAGCACTGCAATGAACCCTCGAATTTGCTTTAGGAAGCTAACGAGAGAGGGAGAGAGAGAGAGAGACTCACCCTTTCCCCAGTTCGACACATCGCCGGACATTTGATGAACACTTTGCTTCGTGAACGAAAGTAAGTTGTCCGACGCTAATTACGGGACTGAGTTGTTTCAACATGCCATGGTCCAACATGTTCTTTCGACCCTCAAGCAGGAAGATGAATTGAAGACCCTATTCATCAGCACCAGAGTTTGTATCTCTGGGTTGGCGAGACCCCAAGTTGTACTTCAGGGATTCTTTGACCTTTCGAGTCTTTGCCTTTGTGCTGGGGACAACTCAGCGTCTTTGAATATGGAAGTTGGTTTGTGGCGAGTCGAAGGATGCGACAGTTGTAGTTGTTTGTTTGTTTTTTTTCAACTGTCAGCAGCAGCTACTGACCTTGAGCCTATGAGGGACCATGCAGCATTAGACACGGATCACTGGTCGAGTTACGGCCTCGTGATGTTTGGGGAAGACATTCCCAGACACTCCATGTATTGACCTCCAAACCACCATGAAAGGCTTTGAACGGCTATAAATCGTTGATCCACAAAGATAACCAAGGTTGCTGGGAGATTTATCGAGTTGTGCCTATGACTTGTTCGTGAGATCTTGTCAGGGATCAGTGCATGAAGTGCGGAGAGATCTCAGGTTTATCAATGTGTCAAGAACTACTGTAGGGCTAGGAAATGAACAAGTCAGGTCGTGGGGGGGATGACTGCCCCAGCTCAAATATGAGTGAAAGAAAGCCAACATTATTCTGACAAAATTGATGGTGATAGTCATAGTGATGATGTCAAAAGTTCTACGGTGTTTGGCGTAGTCAGTCATTCTTCATGAACTTCATGGCTACCAGACTTGATTTGCTGCTGACCTTGACAGGTCCCTGGAAGTTCCGCCAGCTTCATTGTGCACCTTGGTGTGTTGCGATCAGAGATCGGTCGGCATTGACGAGGTGACCCAGATTCTCCCGCGCAACATTGTTAGTTTGAAAGTCTCAGCCTTTTGCTTTTTAAGTTCCTGCATTTCAGTTCTCTTAAACTTTTGGACCGGTTTGAAGTGTCCAAGGCGGGAAACGGACTCATTCTACTCCCCGAGTCTCGTCTCGCTCGTTTGATGTGCCCGCGGAGACGCATGCATTGGTTCAAGCCACACTGCCATGAGTCCAGTGGTGCCCAGCTTCCCTTTCATGTTCGCTTTTTCACATAACGCATGTTACATGATCAAAATACCACATCTTAATTGACACGACATCGCAAGATGACCATTAATGACCGTTTGCAAGTGCAAAGTTCCTGCTGACACGTGGGTTCCACCAGGGTTGGACCAAACCAGGTGGCCGATCTCGACCTCTTTCGACCTTCACCTAGGCCTCCACCCCGGCCAGTGCAGGGGCCAAGTGGGAGCACGGCTCAACGGGTCACGTGTGCCACGGTCCAGTCAGGGCTCCCCATACATGCCCGCTGATACACAGTGGTATCGGGTACATTGGGGGTGAACATGGCTCCATTGGACTGAACACCGAGTTTTCGCACCGTGGACATCCTTGGATGGCCACGGGTGCTGCCAGATGAATGCAAACGAAGATGGCTTTGGGGGAGGTGCGCTTTTGCTTGCTTTGTTCGAGCGAGGCGATCCATGGTCAAAGACCAGAACCCATTGATAAAGGTGGTAAAGGTAAAGCATTTGCAGTCGGCAGAAGGAGGTGATTCATAGGAGATGGGGTGCCTTTCCCCTTTGCATGGTTTTAGCTTTCAGGAACGTCCAGTTAAACTAGAGTGCGGGCAACCGATGAGTTTGAACACTGGCAGAATAATCTTGCATGGGATCTTGATCTCAGGTTTGTGCCAAGATCTGTCTTGAGTCTCGGGTAACCAATGTCTAATTAAGAAACTTGTGTCTCCATATCTCCATGTGTGCGTCTATGCACACATATGTCATATATATATAGATATATATAAGTTATAAGTCCTGAGGCATGTCAGAACTGTCACCCCACGCTGATTGAGTGCTCCTCGGCTTCCTCGACTCGGCTGACTAGTCGCAACCCCTCGCCCTGGGGACGTCGCCCGTGTTGCGGACCGCGTGTTGGTGCGGCGGTGGCCATGTCGCTCAGCAGCATGGAGTCTGGTGAGGCTGGTCTTGCTGCACCGGCCGGCGGTTTTCATGTGTGGCATATCTACCTACGTCTACCTACATTGGGCGGTTTGGGGGTTCAATGCGGGCCAGAGACTTCATACTCCACAATGTGACTCCACTCCTGCAGGGCCCAGACAATCCGAGTATCAAGTAGCACCCCAAGGAAGAGGGACCAACGATTCCAAATTGTCATTTGTTTGAGGTGGGTAGCGTGAGCCCCTGGTTTGCTTGAGCCACTAATTAGTTGCCGTGGCAATTTGCTCGCCTACTGAGCGCATAAAGTTGATTCAGCTTCTCCCATGACGCCATGTCTCTTTGTCAGACGGCCTGCGGCAGGGCACTCCTGATAGGAAGAGACATGGTGGATTAGATTGGGTGTGCGGATGTGGAAATGAGCCCTTTGTAGAGGATTGGTTTAGTTTTAAGGTCTATTTCCATGTGATGAAGTCTAGGTCAATGGAAATATATCGCCGCAGATTTTCACATTGAGTTGGAGTCCCCTCATTTGGTTTAACGGGCTGTGCGGCAAGACCGCCTCAAACTGGCTTCCTTCACCGCTGGGATTCAGGAGGACTCCATAGAGGAGGAGTTGCTTGAGCCAAGGTGACTTGGAGTCTCAAGGGGAACAGGACCCAGGACCCTATGATCTTAACAATGCCCAATATATATATATATTATAAAAGTAATAATATATATTACGATAATAACAATAATAGTATATATATATATTAGAGATGTACCAGGATGTACGTAAGAATACATGTTTTGGCTTTAAACCCGCCTCAGGTAGTTGTTGAGTTATGTAAGTTATATATATATATATAAATTGTATATTAATATATCATATATCATATATACACGCATCATGCACAACATCGACGCGGCAGCACAAGGTCAAAGGTGTCAATTTGCAACTTCAGACAGAGAGCACACGGATATGTTTGGACGTTTTTGGGGTTGGGACGTTTTCTTCAATGGTTGTTGCCCACCAAAAGGCTCGCTTCGCATCCTGGGAGAGCCGGGCCTCGCCTGAAGAGGCCCCCGAATCTTCTCCAGAGGGGCCTTTGCGCGGTGAGCGGCGCTTTGGCCATCGGCTTTGTGATGCTGATGATGTCTGGGCACCGGCAGGCACGCTCACATGGTCAGTTTTTAGTTTTGATGTGCTGCATTTTGGCCTGAGGGCTGTCAGGGCAACATGGATGGGATCTTGAAGACGTCCGCTACACGAGGTCGTTGGCCAAGGTCCATATCTTCTTGGAAGAGCCGCATGAATCACGCCTTTGATGGTAAAAGTCCAACGAGATTTCTCATCCTGAGAGAAGAATTGCGCTTGTTCAAGAAGCAAATGATGGCATCCATCTCGTGGCCTCAGGCATTCCTCTACAAGATGCCAGCGATGAACCATATGGCTGGCTTGGATGATGCTGAGGACCTCACTCGCACGCGCTATGGCACGGTGGCCTGGGCAGGAAACTGTCCATCTAGGTGGGGTGATGGGATGTTTGTAGTAGAGACGGTCTGCGTTGGGGCCCGTTGGGGGGGGGTGAAGAAGAAACAGTCAGCTTGCACCCTGGTCCTCAACAATAGGAACCTCTAAGAGCACCCCCTAATGGTTCAATACATTTTGAGAAAGTGAGAGGTTGTGTCCACAACACATCCGTTAAGGACACCTTAGTTGCCTTTGTCTACATACTAGGGACTTACATCACGGTGATGACGGTGATGCATAAAGACATTGACCATACAGCCGTACCCATCAGGATCTTGTTTCCAGCTCAAGTGTAGCATCATCTCCCGGCGGGGCAACCTACTAGAAGCACCTGGAAGCAATGGTCACTGCTATAATGGAACGGCCACATTGGTGCTGTAAGTATTCCGAAGTGGGTGAAATGTAGATCTTCACTTCACTGGGCCTAACTGGAGGAATCATTTGTTTGGAATCTTGGGTGGCCACACCACAGATGGGAAGAAGTGACGGCTTAGCCCAACGTAGCCTGTAGCTGCCTAAATCTGAGCCTTCATATCTGCAAGCCATGCTTGCAAGAGGCCAACAAACCAACCAGCGAAAACCGACCACCTTTCCAAACCAACCGAACCAAGCAAACGACAACGTAGCCGCGAACCGTGTGAGGTGGATGAAGGGATCTACACCTTCGGTGCGCCTGGCACCGCCAGCCGTGCGCTTCCGGATCTGAGCCACGAGGAGCGTAGGAGCGTCCTTTCACCTGCCCAGGCAAAAGTCGTTCGCCCCAAGCGATTTGGGGGGCTTCATGTCCGGATTCCCCACAAAAGACCGGAACAGATTGAACAAGGTCTATGTATATAATGTAGACTCGTAGACTTGATTCATAACCCCCCCCTTTGAAGAGGATGTTCAATTCAAATGGGGGGGTGTATTAAACAAGAGTCTACATTAACGGTATAACCGTCCTGTTCCAGGGAAACTGAGGGGTCAGATAAGGTTTACTAGGGGTATGGGGACTTGACCCGACCAGGTTTTCAAGGATTCTCAGGTCGTTCATCGGTTTTGGTTCCCGACATAAGCCTGTAGCCTTCGTCGGTCTGACTGTGCCACACATTCACATTCCTCAACAGAGAGGGAATGCGTTTGCGCACCTGAGGGTAAGTCTTCCAACTGGCTAATGTTGACATAGTATTAAGATGTATTAAGTAACCTCCCTTTATTAGTCAAGCCCAGCTCGAGCCCAAAATATTTTTAAGTACTGTAATTTAGCCTCTCCCTATCAATCAAGCCCATTTGTCCCCAGAAAATACAGATAGTTCATGCTGTTGGTTTAAAGCTACAATCCAAGCCGCCAATGTTCTCCCAAGCAACCTTTGTTCCACAATCCCCAAACCCTCTCTAGCAAAATCAATCTAGTTTCCTTTACTGTAATAAAACAAATCTATATATATATATCAACATCTTAAGGTTCTCAAGCTCATACAGGCACCCGTCAACCATCATCCATTCCATCATCAGGTCATCACCTATATTGTAGGGATTTGGTCTCCAACACCTCCAATCTCAAGCCTTGTTGACCTTGTTGACATTGAAGGGGGGGTGAATACTGTAAGCCTACGTCGACATTTAAGATGCACCATAGACAAACCTTTCCAGACTTTGATCAAGTTGCTTTGATGAAGTTGCTTTACAAGGTGATCGGGGTTGGGGCATGTTCGGCTAAGTGTTTAAGTATCGAGCATCCTGGCCTGGGTGCTATGCTAAAGAAGCTTCAACAAGAGCCCTCCAAGCCCCGTTGAAGTGGATGGCAAGACCTGGCTAAATCGCACTCCCGCCTCTGGGTTGGAGGGTCGGAGTCCGCTTGGCCAAGCTGCAGCAAAGACTCAATCCGCATTGGACAGGATGGCTGCTTTGCGGGATTGCGCGTGTGGGCGGAGGCATCCTGGCCGCACAGATGGATGATGTTGGTGACGCTGCAGATGGGAAGGTTCACTGGCTTGACCAGTGACCAGTTGTGGTGGTTTATTGGTAGTCCATAGTCAGTGCAGCTTCTCTTTGTGCAGGGTATGTTTGGAACAGGAAGACTCGTCCAATGAAGTCCGTGGATCTAAGGATGTTCTTCCAGGCAATACCAAGCAGGAAGACGGAGCAGCCATCAGCGACCAACTGGATCATCCACATGCCACTGGCCACCAATGGGACTGAGGAACAGCCGAAGGGAGTCGTCCTCGCAAAAAGCGGCAATGGCATGGCAATGGCGATGTCACATGTTCTTGACGTGTTCTGTGGTGTTTTGTTCTCAATCTGATTGCCTCGTCCTGTTTCTCCAACTGGGGTTGATTGGCAGAAAACATGACCCACAGACCCACAGCTCCTTCCAGGTGCAGTTCTTCACAGTGTTTTGCACTATGTTAGGTTGCTGCCACAGCATGTGTGAATATCGTGTATATATATACACTGTATTTATTTATTATTTCTATAATACCAAATGTTTGCTTGCGTCCTTCATGTACCGTTTACTGAGGATGCCGGGTGCCAACTGCACTACACTACTGCTCCAAGCACACATGAAATCCTACAACACAAATCACCTGTGCATTGCTGTGCTCTCCCGTGAAAAGGCAACGAATCGATTTCAGAATTGCTTGCCCCACTATGGAAGCACAGGTAATCCATCACGAAGCATTGGTTGTTGGGAGAAACAACTGGCAACTCTATACGACATCTACAATTGATTGGTTGTTGGCTATGTCCACGTAAGACTTGGTCACAGCACAACGAGGTTGCAACCCTGCGACTACATGATGAGCAGCTTGGATGGTTAGAAAACCTGCTTTAAAGCTGTGAGCTCCAGCTGGGTCCTATAAAAAAGGGTGTGCAGAAGCTCCTGTTTGTTTGACACGGTGTCCTGTTGTACCTGTGCAACATGTTATCCATGAGCCGACCGACGGCTTTGTACACGATGCCCCGGCGGTCGTGCGACTGGGTTCCGGTCGCGCTGAGGCAGCACGACTCGCACTACAAACCCTGCCCAGGAGAGCAGAAGGAGCTGGTTTCCGTTCAGATTTTAAGTCCGAACTGCTCCCCTAACAGGACAGGTTTAATATATTAGTTGGTTGCCTCATTGTGTTTGGCTTTTCGGCCATTTGTTGCCTCATTTCAGGAGCCTTTCTCGACTGGCAACAAGTTTGCAGCAACGTGGACGAAAGCGAGGGAAGCGACGAACGGAGGTCCCCGCACGCTTTGATGGGGAACACCAACGCTTGCAAGGGCTTGCAAGGCTACAAATGAGCAATGCCCTCCTGCAGATTATCATGGAGTATCATGGACCCTGAAAACCACTGCGTGGTAGATGGGAATAGATAGCCTTGCAGGGGTCCGTTTTCACGATCCATGTTTGTTTGCAGAGGGGTACTGGACCAAAACCTACGGAAATGGTGCACCCGGTGCCCTGTCGAGCGGGTCGGGAACCGGGTGAGCGCCCAGCGCTGGCTGTCCAACAGCGACATGGCCGGCCAAGCGCGAAGAACTCACCCACGAGGCCATTCTTGGGACCTAGCTGGTGGAAGTGTATCTCCTGCCGTGCCCGGCTGTTTGTTGCTCTTAAGTGGTCATTTATTAAGCAATCGATGTGTAGCGGTTTAGGGCTTGCTGAAGCCCCACATGTCGGCTCCGTTCGATGCCTGAGGAGTGGCGGCTCCACTGGGAGCCCATCTATAAGCCCCGCCTGGGCAACGTCTCCCTACTGGGAAAGAAGGTTGCCAATCAGGTGAGCTGAGTGAGCAGACCAGCTGACAATGTGAGTGGTTTGTTGACGAGTCGAGAGGAGCCGGATTGTCCCAAATAGAAATGCCTGGTGTTCCGAAGGAAGAATCCCCCATTACTGAGTGCTTTGGGAGCCGCAGGGCAGAATAGGGTCGGCGAACGCGATCCCGATCTGCCGATCCGCAGGGTGTTGTCGGGGAAAGCTGGGATTTCCATGAAAATTCAGCTCTTTCAGAGACCCCGCAATACAGTCAAGCGACTGTGGTTGGTGAAGAAAGGTGACTTGGATTCTTCACACAACTGTACGTTCAATCCATGAATTATTAAGTCGTCCATTGTTGTATTTCAGGAATCCAGCCGGGTGATTGTCCAGCCTTCTCCTCCATCTTGTCAGTGCGGGGATTGATCTGCTGTTCTCCACGACCAGTTTGCCCCATTCACAACGAAGGCGATGTGGGCAGTTCCATCATGTAAACCACTGCTTCACAAGAGTGAGAACTTGCTGGTGTAGAGGGGATTCATTCTCCTACCTACATGTATTGTTGGGTGCTGACAAGATCATCTGCCAGAACAGATCCGGATCAGTTAAAAGAACAGCCCCTTTGTGCCTCCACACAACAATTTGACAAGTGCGGAGGGAAGCAATCCCGTCAGATGACTGGTCCAAGGCTTGGGACACAAAATGACAATGCGCAATCTGACCAACATGCACCCAAACATATCACCAAAGGTTCTTTCAGACTTGGGTTTTATGGATGTACTAATCGGTCTACGAATCGGTAGAGGAACTGAGCATGGAGCCTACCCTGGAGTGTCCGCGGTCGAAACGGGTGTTTCTCAGAGGACCTTATCAACCATGGTCGTTCACCGGAATCCAAGATGGTCCAAGTCTAAGACGTTGCTTCTGAGTGCCGTAAGATCTCAGAGTGCTCGCGCCCCTGGAGGCTCCCTTCAGTGTAGCTTATGGCTACAATCGCATTGCTGCTTTGCTTGCAATCGGTTCTTTTGCCTTCGAGTTCCAAACAAATTCCTGTGCAGACAGCATTCAGAACGCCTATAGCTTTTGAATACAGCATTGACCCACTGGGTGTCCAGCATTGTCATTGTTTGCAGCGATTAAGGCTAGACACCGGGCGTCGTATGGTGCTTTTGTATGTCTTTATAATAATGGTTTGTCGATCCTTAAGAGTGACTATATATATATATATATTTATGTATGTTTTTGAAGGTACCGCACGAGATCCAATATGATGCAATCATGTTTCTGAGCTATTCTACACTTCCACGTATCCGGAGGGCCTCCTTTTGGACCTGCAGCTAGTGAAGCATCTGAGGAACAAAGCAGATACTGTACAAAATCAACATCACCTGAAAAAGGACACGTGCGACATTCGTGACATTCAGGTATATACCGTACCACTTTATATTAGGCGCTGGGTATATATTCATCAATGATTCTGAAACGGCTTCAATCGACATATGCCACTGACATGCCTCACTCACGAGGGTCGTTGAAGAGAGCCGAATCGTCGATGACAGTTGCATTCTTTGACTGGTTTGGCAGTCAGTTGTTGAGGCTATGCTGCATACCGCAGCCGCCTTTTCTACTTACGGTAGGAGCCCAGCCGCTGTCCCTGCGGAAAGGGGCGCGAGATGGCGCGAGCGTTTCGTCCCACATACTGTTTCTCAAGCTATCACCGGTGGTAGCGGAGTCATGGCGATGGCTTCGAAGATGTCAGCGGCAGCAACTGATGGCAGCGGATCTTCACCAGCCCTAGGAGGTCGCGAACGTGATGCACCACGAGAGAGACATCCAGCTCTGGGTCTTCGACACAGAAGTTCTTGGCATGATCAGCCATTTGCCGGTCCATAGAGTGCGTGCGTGGGTTCCGGAGCTTCACGGGGACACTGGCCTGAAAAGGATTTCTTTGACTGGCCTGAATGATTGCGAGGTTGCAGTGACAGAAGAACCCTTGGATGCCCTTGGCTACTGGTGCAGAGCTTGCGTTGGAGCAGCAGGGTGACTGGATGACCTTACCAGTCTTTGCTGCTGAGCGGAGGCTGACCAACATGAAGGCGGCAACACTTTCTCAGCTCTGCAAAGTCATGAAAGCGCCAGGGGCAAGCAGCCTTGACACGCTTCAACCACCGCAACAGGTGCGAGCTGTACCTTCGCTTGGATACAGAGAGGAGATGTGAGGAGCATATTTTGTGTCAAACGGCATTGACCCCAGACAAAAGACCCCGAGCTCGCAAGGCCAACCAGACTGAGGACAGCTATCAGTCGCGAGTCATGAAGCTTGCGAATAGTCAGTCCGAAAGCGTATGCATTCATTGAGTGAGTTAATGATTACCCTCAAGCAATATTAATATGGAATAGTAATTGCGTTGTTGCTGTACAACTAATTTTGTTTGGCTAGCGTCCTGTTTTTCTGAGGGGAACCTGCGCATGGCGCTGTAGACTTGCAGGAAGAGGGAAGAGGAGTGCTTAGATGAGCCTGGGGGCCAGTCTGATGCTGAGGGGGTGGAAGTCTTGCACCAGGACACGCAGGACCCCTCAGATCCTAAGAGAAGGGTCACGAAGATGACTTGGCTCAGCGTGACGAAACAAGACCAAGGAAGACAAAGTCGACAATACTGTTCCTACTGAAGGCGCAATTCCTGTGGAAGATTGCTCGGTTGACATAGAGGAGCAGGCAGAGCCACCAGATGCTTTTAGCAGGGGTGATGGTTCGGAAACCGGGTTTCAACTGGTTCATGCTTTGAAGCGAAAGGACATATATATATATATTTCTATATAGACTCCTTGACACTGTCTAGGAAAAGCAACAAAAACGGGCCTGAGCATTGCAGGCGTGTCAGTTTTAGAAGTGTGAATACTTCCCTCGCGCTTTGGTAGCTGCCCAACGGACCATTGAAATTCTAAACGTCTTGGTTGCAAATTCTATATGAACGAGACAACAAGGGTCTTCCTCTTGGACCCGGCGTAAACCGTGGACAATCGACATTGGCATGTGCACCAGGTCGCTCTCATCGGTCTGGAGCTCCGCAACTGGTCAGCCCATTTGTCCAATGTCATCTTCCAGTCCAATTCAAGATTGAAGGTCGGTGCTCTCGGGCTGTTTCACTTCGTCCGGACGAAGGCCAGATTTCCGAAGGTACTTCGAAAACGAAAGCTGTGCTGAGGAAGCTGCAGCAGCTTGAAGCTGGCGCTGGTTTTCTTTGTTCTTTCCGTTGCAGCTTTAGTGATTGCCGGCCAGCCTGAGACCGTCACTGTGCAATCTTGGTGTTTGGTATTGTTTTGATGAGGTCGATGCAAATCAGATTGAATTGTCAACCAGTCATTTCCCTTGACCCGTTGAGCAACATTTGCAAGGCTCAGGAACTCAAAGCGGTTCAGATGCAATCAGATGCAAAGGATTAGCAACCAATTCGTTTATTTGTGCCACTCAGGGGCAGAAGGCACATGCTTGGCAACGATTGGATCGACTTTTGGTGGATGCAAGAGGTTCAACAGGATTTGTTAACCATAGCGCCTGTGTCACTCACTAAAATGGAACGTCATAGGTGTAGTCATATTGTTTGTGTTAGATGCAAGAGGTCAGTCAAATCATGAAAAGTGGAATCAGGAAACCTTTGGAGGAGGAAGAACTCGGAATTAGAGCTTTGGCGCGGGGTTGTCCCTGCGAAATTAAGTGGCGCGAGCGCTTCGTCCCACGCCCTGTTTCCCAAGTTACCAACAACACTCAAGATGTACAACGCCCGAATTGAGTGAACGAATTCCTTTGCGAACAACAATTCTGCAAAATTTTGTTTTGACAACAACTGTGCGAACAACTCGCCCAATCTCTTGTCAGCGAACATTCGAATTGTTTTCTCCCGGTTTCCCTTGGCAGGTGCCATAAAGAAAGCAAACCAGTGGTACAACCACCCTATTTTGTTTCAACTGGAACCTGGGGGCTGCAAATTGAAATCTCAGGGTATCAGTGTCTGATTCTTTAGTGAAGCGCTTTGGACTGACCACTGCAGGTGCTTGCTCGAGATGCAGCTCCTGTTCACAGATAGTATCAAAATGTATCAAACATGTCTTCAATAGTTTCAACAGCAGATATACTGCGCTTCACTGGGCTGTGTTCGCCAAAACGCATATAATGCAAATATAAAACGTATTAAAATGTAGTTCATGACAGTTCGACTCGAACACGGAGTGTCAGATTCTTTAGGTTGATGATAGCGATTTTTTGTGGAGTTTGAGCAGGTCTGATTCTTTAGTGTTTGTATTTTAAAATTCATGTTTTAGAGGCCTTTTGCTGATGGATGCTGATTCTTTAGAGAGCAGCAGGTTGGCGCAGGGTGGAATCCCTAAAGGATGAAGATGTCCATGTGAAAGGCCGAATTCGCACAGTGATCATATATATATATACATTTATACAGATATAAACATACATACATAGACAGATAAATAGAAAAAACAACTTGTTAGTAGCCGCCTCAGACAGTCTGGAAGCCGACCAACCGCGCGAACTTCCCCCTCCCCAAATATTTCCACAAATTCAGTTTCCACCCTCTTTGCCCAACACACAAACATGAAGTATCTCTCTTTTCCGAGCTTGCAGTGGAATGCAATGTGGTGGGCCTTTGAGGCCTACAAGCAATATGACAGCACCGAGCATGCCAAGGCCCACATCCAGCAAAGGCCCCCCCATCGTGTCGCGTTTTTCTTGGCACGGGGTTGGGGGAGTCACTTCCATCCATCACAAGCTGCAAATGACATCAAAACAAATATATGCATGCAGATGCCAATTGCCTTGGTTTTGATGAGGGCTGCGGCCTGGAAAGCAAAAAACATGCAGATAACTTGAAAATGATGTATTTGGTGCTGCGCCAAGCCCCCCTCAGGGTCCACAAGGAAGGCCCTCGTGATGATTTTTGTTTCGTCCAACCTTAAACACCTTCATCCAATTGGCCTCAGCAAAGACAGACTATACAAGTCAAATGCTAAGCAAAGTTTGCTCTTCATTCTTGCAGTTGATTGTGGTTGCGGCGGGAATTGGAGTTCGAGTCGGTCAAAGATTGTTTTGAGCAGATTGAAGTTCTCCAAGGCATGATGCGCCCCTACAGCCCTTCTTCGTTTCATGGCCGAACGGCCAAACCATACCGTTGCCTGTTAGACAAGTTCACTACATGGGTGTTTATGATCAGTGATCCGCGCTCAGCCGCACAGGCTGGGGGAGAGCTGGAAGATCGTGGCCAGATGGACCCTGGTGCAGGGTTCTGCTTCCATGTACGATGAGGCGACAGAACAAGTGTCAAAAGTGGATGTGGAATCGAACGAAGCTGGAAAAGGTTGGAGCAGAATGCCCAAACCTAGGTTTTGGAATTAGGCCCTGGGAAAGACCCAAAAATCTAAACATCCGCGCAACTACTGGCATTGAGATCGGCTTGGATTGTTCAGATGGTATCACATTGTTGTCATCCTGCCGACACCCCGGAGAGCTGCTGCTTGCAGAGACCAGAGCATTATACAGCATAGAAACAAGTGACAGGACTACCGCCACGATCAGACCTAGCTAATTTGGCAGTTAAGCACCTTTATTGCAAGCGGTTATATATATATATATATTTGATCCCACAATATCCCCCAAGACATACTATGAGGGTAGAATGTCATGGACTAGCAGCTGCTCACAGAGAATATCCAACGGGTCTTTAGACATTCTAAGCTACCAGAGACCTGGAGCTGCCTTAGGTAGCCTTTTAAAATCTTTTGATGGTTTTTGACTGTTGGCATGAACAGGAAAGAAAGAGCATCATTTTTGTCAACAATGCAAAGTTTTTGTCACCGATTCCAACCCCCCCGCAAAAAAAACTATGGGTGCCAATGGCATGAAGTGGGAGGGCCGCTAACTATGGGCCATGAACTTCAGTGTTTGTTTACTAGACTGCTTGCCCCCACGTGTTGCCTTTTCACTCCAAGAAGAGGCACTGGTTCACGTGAAGTGGGCCATGTGAAGTGCACCAAGCTTCCTTCCGAATTTCCGTATGATCCCCAAGGCTTGAGCGGCCACTCAGCGAGAGCTGAGAGATCCCTTGAAAGGTCCTGACACTTTCCAGGTGGTTTGTGCGAATGCTTTTTGGGTGTGGCAGGGCTGGGAGGAGGGTTTGCTAGTTTCGATCAGCACGTCGGTGTGTTTATTTCCCGACGGAAGATGATCGTTGCTTCACCTAGAATCTGCGAAGCTCTGCCTTTCAAACCTCCAGAGATGTTCATTGTGGAGCTTGTTGCCTTGGAGCTCTTCACACTCACCATCAGTCACCCTATTGTACGTAGCAGCTCCAGCTGGACCTTCTTTCCCCTTATGTCAGCACCCGAGAATTGGAGAACTCCAAGCTGGGGCGAAGGAAAGAGACCATCGCCGTCGACTTGGATCGATCCGTCGATCCTTTGACCTTCAGGATCCGTTGATGCTGGTGCAGGCTCTGGAGGGGGGGGAGAGCCAGAGGTGCACCGGAGAGTGTGGAGAGGCGGCTCCGTGGCTTTGTGCAGCTGTGTTTCAAGCTTCATAACTCTTTTGGCGCGACAATCCCTAGCCGCAGCCTCAGGTTGATGCAGTTTTCTGGAGGGAACTCGCCCAAAGTGCCCAGTGGAAGGGTAGAATCGCAGAAAGACCCCGGAAGGTGCTGGACGTGACTTTGAACTGTTGACTATGGCACTTATGGCACTATGGGCTTGTCCGTCTACTCAACTCCATGATTAATTAGGCTTCTAGAGGCAATCTGTGGTCGAAAGTCTTTGTTCACTTCCCTTTCTGTCTTTTTGGACTGGACGTAACGCGGCCAGCGATCGTGGGATTCACCGACTGATCTTTGGCTCCTGAGCTGGGTACCACAGCTGATCCGGAGCGTCCCAAATGTTGTTCACCTCCCTTTCTTTAGATCATCCTCGGGTGTGTCCCAGCACTAGCAACAGTCGGTAGAAGACTATCACCATTTGAGGGGAAAGGGACCTAGAGGTCTTTACTAAGCATCCACTGGTGATGGGATAATAATATTATATACCCCAAGATCTTCCAGAATCTTCCACTTCTTTAGCTCCTTTGGCTGTCGTCGTCCTCCTTTCGCTCGAGGACTCTGAGACGCAGCGCTGCGTCCTCGCCTTTGCCGGCATCAACAACTACGGCTGGGCGCCGAACCGGCAGCGATGGTTGATGGGTTGAAGCATGCTGAAGCGGTGGGTGAAACGTGTCGAAAGGAAGTCCCGATTGGAAAGCCGGGACAGCTGTTGTTGGCAGAAAAGACCAACCAGAGCTTGATGCTATCAGGATCGAACAGCCTTTTGATGCAATCAGTCTGTTGGATTGATTATCATCATCAATGATCACATTTTGGGCTATAATTCCACTTTGTCAGAGTTGCTGACTTCGAACCCAGGGTAATGTCTGATATACCTGACATTGATACTTACTGTATCTTACTGTACCTTGTCCATCCTCTTCCTATCCGGACACATGTATTAGTTGAGAGGCGGCAACATAGCCGGGCGCCACTTTCAGGCACCACCCCCACGCCGCGGGCGGAGGCAACGAGTTGGCTACGGCCACGGATGTGCGCACCAGTGACTTTTGCGGCTTCGAGGGCGTCCACGTCGGCTACCGAGACGAGCTTCGAAGGCCCGCTGACCCGGCACGGGCGCGAACGCGGAGCGGAAGCGGTTCGAAGGCAGCGGTCCTAGAGCAGGTCAGAAGCAGAAATTGAAGCCAAAAGCAAAGAGATTCAACACTGCGGCAGGTGCTGCATTGACACCTTGAACATTCCCCCCACCAGCCAATCTCAGGATTATGCAGTTTGTGTTCCCGCACGTGCGTCCACTGATGGGCAAGTGCAGGCGGGAACGAGAATGGGTGGGCGGGAAGGGCAGTGTTTGGCACAATCCTCTTGAACCCTTGCATTCTCTCCCTGTCTGTCCCCCTCACTGTTTTCGTGCATGGTATAATGAGGGGTCCCATGGACCTCTAGGGCACAGGTGGACAGATGTTTGATTCACGGCAGGTAGGGTTTCCACCAGGTGACAGGTGATAGGAATTGATAGAACATTTTAGAAGTTTAGAAGGTGCTATTTGCCTATTATTGGAAGATTGTGTTTGCTAATTGTTCTTAGAATATTCTTCTTTTGTCTATTCTGCTTGGCAAGAATGGGGGGTATCAGTATAGCGCTTGACACGGGTTGGCACAACACACACGTTATTATATACCTACATCAGTGAATAGTGAATCGGGCAATTTCCGCCATGACCCAACCTGGGCCGTGATGTTGGAAAGTCCATCCATGACATGTAGTCCACAAAAATCCATCAATACATGTAATTATATACATTTGCGGTAAATACTGACTCGCTCCAGTTCCACCATTCTTATTCTTATGCTTGACCTAAACCCATCAAACCCATTTGAATCCTTTGACCAAGAAGTTGGTGCTTCTGACATGTTTTGGGCACCCCAAAGCCCATCCGGTCAGAGTTGGTCCCCCAAACCATTGCTGTCCCCAGTCACGTGGCCTGCACGGGGCATTCCATGGGTGGCTCCCTGTGCGACCTCTTTGCAGCCTGCGCCAACAGCCAACGCCACTGGGCGTGGAACTGGACGGACACCAGGCCCGGGACACTCCATGGGATTGCCATATTTGAAGAGGTATATATATATATCTATATATATATATATTCCCATACCAGCATCCTCCAACAGGTCTCCCCTAGAGGGTTGTTGGGCCCTAACAGGATGCCGGTATATCGAGTGCTTGGGATGGGACCCAGGTGGTGGGAAGTCCTGAGGTAATGCAGCTGAGTTGCTACAGATGTTTATGGAGTGGGAGAAAAACCAGAAACAGACCCAGGATGGATGCTATTGAACTTTTTGGAGGGCCAAGTCACGAAAGCTAGCAGCAGCTAGCTGGAGTTGTCCTTGCTTTAGCAAGTGAGGGGCTGGAATCCTCGAGATCGCCGCATCACGTGAAAACTTCATATGTAGAGGGCCCCCCCCGCGGGTTCAACTCCCCCCTGGGACGCCTCTGGGACACCTTTTGGACACCTCTTATGGCATCCACTTTGGTTGAACTCCTCCGTGGAGGTTTTGGGATACGATGCAACAGATTCAACAGATTCAAAAGCTAAGGTTGGCTGTGTCATTGCTGTTCGTGTGTCTTACATGTTCACAACGTTTTACCTCATGAGCGAGACCTTGTGAACCATCCCTCCAACAGCCCCATGCCTATGAAAAAAGATTTGCCTCACTCCGCTTGATGTCCCACCAATCCTTTGTCACTGGACGGCGCTGTATGCTTCGCCTCCACTGACACGGATGCATCCCTGCTAGCTTTCCTCACCTACCCTCGGCCTCAAGTAGAAATGGATAGAAATGGGCAGGGTTGGGCAACATCGTGTGTAGTGAATAACTTGGGTTTTACAAGGGGGGGTTGGACACATTCCGTGGAGATCAGCAGTGTCAACACCGCGTAGATGAGATCAAAGCACCAACCCTACTGCAGACCATTGAAAGATCTTGGGCTGTAGCCACCACCGTGAGAGTTTTCGTGGATCTTGGACTCAGTGGACTTAGGGCACCTACGCACCTCCCATCAAGTGGCGTTTTGATCTCCCACCTATCAAGCCTCAGAGGTCCTCACCGGTGGCACCCTGAGGCTTTGAGGATCCGGACTTCAAGGCCGTTTCCTGGTTGAAGGAGCCGTGGCGTGTGTGAGGGGAGACTCACCCGTGAGGTTTGGTAGCGGGTGAGTGACTGGGAGAAGTTCATAGCTCATGTGAAGTGGAAAAAAGGGAACATGTATGAACATGTAATCGATATACAATCAGTACATACATACATATAAATATATATATATATATCAAAATAGTGTTGCCTTCCATATGTATATATATGATTGCGTATTTGCATGGAGAGTGTGTTTATTCTAGAGTAATGACAATAATACATATATATATATATGCAGGGAATTCGACCATGAGATGCTGTTTCTATCCTTTTCAAGGGTGCTGTCCCCTGTACTCCATGTCAGGAGACTCCAGCTGTACTGCCTGAGATCTCCGACTGCGGTGGTGTCCACTACTCTGAGGAGGCGGAGCATCGATGCCAATGCCCTCCATGTCCCAAGTGCGGCCCGGAGCAAGTTCGTCGATTTTTGCATATCGTTTTGCTTTTGTGTTGAATTTGCAATACCTAGAACTAGACCCTCACATCCAGGGTCCTTTCGGCCGGTTGGAAGCTTCAGGAGATGTTTATGTTCCTTGTTTCACTCAACAAGCCCTTTGACTATGTTCATTGTCTTTTTTGTTCTGATCCAGAAGCTCGCACCATCAACGACAAACATGGCACCCCAGGAATAGTGAGAGGGCTTCGGCAGAAATGGTGTTTTTGTTGGAGGGTGTGAGCTTGCACTTGGTTCATTTTCAAATCATGACACACATTGACAGACATATTTTATTCAAACGTTCTACTCCTCCAAGTTGTGCAATGCCTCTTCCTAGCTTTCTTCCGCCCATCTCAATGCCGAGGAGTAGCTTCCTGCAAGGGCGTCAGACGCAGCATGAGGAGAACGGCTCCTCCAGCCTTCTCACTGTGGCTGGCAAAAGGCCAGTCCAAAAATCCGTGGATTGTCCTGGCTGAAGCTGACCCCCTCTAAGCAGCCAGTGCAGTGAAAAGAAAACCCACTTGCAACACCACTTTTGGATCTCGTCTACTGTAATTATTTGTTTGCTCGGCGTTCTTGACAACAATGCCAGAATGCACCTTGAAGACCAACAGATATGCCAGCTTCGAACGATCCCAACTTCCAACATGGTACTGTACCTGTCACCGAGTGGCTCAAGAGATGCCTGTTGGTTGTTGGCCGGGGTGTTGATCTTATACAATAATGAAATCATATAAACTCTAAATCATTTGAAAGAAGAAGCCAAGAAGAGTATAAGCGCTCCTCACTGCTACTACAACTAGTGACACGAGACGGTTCGGTTGAGGTTATTTCATCATGCAATTGACTGTCCAAGATGGCAGAAGCCCACACTTGAGGCATCCAGACGCATTCTCTTTGATAGTCCACACCGACCGTGGCTTTCAGCCTTGCTGGGTCGATTCCGCAAGTCCTTCGGTCAGATGCAGAGCGAAGGAGAGATCAGAAGCTATTAGTAGCATCTATTTGCTACTAGTAGAAGTGCCCTTGTTACTAGTAGCTTCCTGTTACTAGTAGCAATGCCCTTGTTACTATATAGTAGTATAGTAGGGAGGAGAGCGGGCGCAGGCCTGATGGACACCTGGACCGCAGGGGATGTGCTCCTCTCATGGTCTTCCGTCACTTCCGGAAAAAACGGACACTCCCCAATCGCCAAGGAGGAAGGTATCTCCCCAAATCTGGGTTGCTTGCTGCATGTTGCTTGCTTGAAGTGATTCCAGTTCCAGGTTAGACCGGGTTGTCTCGTGCAGGCCTCCCCAACAGAATTCACCAGAAAAAAACGATTCTTGATGCCACCTCACAATCAAGAAAAGACTCATGTAGCCATGTGGCTTCATCGGAATTCACCGGTTTCAGAGTAGATGGCACAAGTTACCGCAAGGTCGGTGTTTTTATATGGACCCCCATGTAATATAAGAGATCTCAGGGCGCCAGTGCCATTTACTCTGATGGCCCACTGTATTGATGGAAGTCACAGTCACCAAAGAATCCACTGGATCAGGATCGAGCGATGGCAGCGACGAAAAACTCGAGAACTTGGTTTGGTCCAAGCAGACTGACTCATACGACCCCTAAGCGATCCTAAGGTATTCTTGTATGGGAGGGCATTCCCTCATTCCCTACTAAGCATGAGCAATTCATAGAAGATAGACCTTAGAAACGTTGCTGCCTTTGAAACACTGGTTCATGGGAATTCCTAAAATCCACCGGGATACCTCCCAGATCGACGACTTTCCGGGCAGGGTTGGTTTGATGCCAGAAAACACCAGAATGCAGTTGTAATATGTTGTAATTATGTTTGTCCGATCAATCATTAATCGATTAATCAGTTGAATGGCTGGGTATGAATGTCAGAGAGTGCCTCAGATTCGCCATCGTTGTTTCTTCTCCTTCGCTGCTCTGATCTGTTCAGGCTCCGCCAAAACACACCCGATGTCGTTCGGGAGTGCATGCAGCTTTGGTTTTTTTTCCCGCATGCGAGCGGAGCCACGTTCTTCGGACCCTACAAAGGCCTCCTGTGTAGCTGTGGGGAGTCTATGTGGGTGTCCTTCATGATCCGGAGTGGGAAGATGATGATGATGATGATGATGATGATGACGGCGTGACTCTGTGTTCCCTTTTTAACGCAAAATGTGGGGTTCCTCCTAAGGTCCAGGATGACATGACTTTTGTTGGTTGATTCCTACTTACCTTGCAGCAACTCCTATGGCGGAGTTGGCACAACCTTGGGAGGCTTGAAAGAGAGTCGTTTAGCTTCATGGTGAAGGTTTGTTGAGTCACCCAGAGTGGGGAGGCCCTGAAAACAATGCCAGCACTGCCGCCTGTGCAAACACCAATGATTTTGGATCATTCTGGAACGGTTTGAATGACTTTTGCCTCGACTTGACACAGCTACAAGGGGTTTCCAAGCTCCTCGCCCACCAGAATTCCATCTCCACCGGTGTGCTGGGCCCGAAAAACCATTGAAAGCGGGCATGACATGCGCTTCCCAGTGGATCCAAGACTCCGCAAGAGTTGGCTTTGATGCTTTGGATCCACTGGGCTAGGTTACCCTGACTACAGTTCCAACTGTGAGCCGATCTGAGCTGATCTCAGCTGATGCTTTGAACCCGAGTGCCCTCTTTTTTCACGGTGGCGATCAACTCTGAACGAGTCAGAGCTCGTTCTCGCTCTCGTCCTCTCTTGGAGGGTGGAGTCAGAAATCATTCAGAGAAGGTTTGCGAAGTTCTTGGCCCGCAGCAGCTGTGTGTTCATGCTCTTTTGCTCTGAGCCAAGGGGACCTGACGCCGCTGGGCACAGAGGTGAGCATGAAGTCCAAGACTTCGAAAGGAAGTTCAGCCTGGACCAACGCGACCTCGGAAAAAAATGGAGACCGTTGTTCTGCCATGTTCTGCCGTTTGTCGTAGTTGGACGGTCCAACTTCCACATTCTCCAGCATGAGGTTATCCCCGCCGAGTTTAATAAGCAGGCGTTCCGAAGGATCAGGAAACTTGAAGCCGAACATGCGGAGCTGTGACCCAGAAGTGGTCAGGGAACTTGTTTTCTGCAGCCACATCACCGCCAAGGCGCTGGCCGCGGCCCTGGCGGCCTTGGGAGGCAAACGGAATGGCACGGGTGCGGCCACATTCTCCGCAATCTTGTGTAATACCATACATTGCATCGAACAAAGAGTTGCAACTAAATTACGTAAGCTATTACTATACATATTCCGTGAACGCCGCAAACCTGTAGGTGTTCGTTCAAGAAAAAACAATATATGCAATTGCCGAGGTAAGGTAAGGTAAGTAAGAAAGAAAGTAAGTAGGAGCAAGGGTGCAAGTTCAATAAAAGACTTGCTAGGCAGACACCTGCACTATGCAAGCCACAGCTTGAGATTCTCGGACCAGGCCTCGCCCCACGTGCTCCCGCCCGGACGGAGGAGCGACTCGTGGGGCGGATCAAGAGGCGCACCGGCCGAGCAACGTCGTGGGTGGAAGTCAGGTGCATTGGTTTGTTGTCCTGCTTGGTATGAAGGCTTGAGCAGCTTACCCTCAACAAGCAACATGGACCATGGAGTCTGGAGATGTGATTTTGCTGGGCCCTCGTGAGGATGAAATCTGTTATTCAACCCCTCCACTGGTTGTCCCTGCTACTGTTGGACACCCCGATGGTTGATGCCAATGTTTGTAGAGAGCCCATGGCCCATGTTGCACACACTCCGAAAACGTTAACAGGATTCAGGACGCATTCCAGGGGGGTCCAAGATGGAAGGATTGCTGGAGGAGCAGCTGCGTCATCAGTTATCAACTGAAAAATTGCTTGGTTTTGGCAATTTTTGCATTTTGGATGACACTGCGACGTGGGGTGTGGGGGTCTCGCTGGTGAAACCCAACAGGTGCCTACCGGCAAAACCCGAAACGCTTCCAGAAGTGCTCACTGCGTATATACTTCAAGTTGCAATGATGTTGCGCAAAAAGGACGCCTTGTCCCTGAAACAATCTTCTGAATCCACTGGAAACAAAACAAGTCGGAATGAGGGTGTCTAGTGTGAGGACATGTCTATGACAGATGCGGGGGGGGGCAACAAAAACTATTTCATGGCAGGTCTACAAAAACGGATGCATGACCATGTCATCAGGTTTATGGACGTCCCCAATGGCTATGGCTACGGCTTCATTGATTGCGAGGAGACCAAATTGCGCTTCAGCCGCGCCCCTTGGGCTGCAAAACTACGGTGTTTCATTTGACTATAGTAGTAATGCACTTGTTACCAGGAACTAGCTTCTAGCTACTAGTGGCAATGCACTTATTACATCTTATTACTAGTAGCAATTTTGTTATAATTAGGACGTATTGTTCATCAACCACGTCCCTTTTAGTCTTGTGTGTGAGGCCCCGGCCACTGTGATGGTAGCATTGTGCAACCAAAGATGAATGCTTCAGAAACTTCAGCTTCTGAGGATGTCTACCTTCATCGAAATCAGATGGAAGGCTTGCAAATCGGTCTGGGACCTCAAGGGTGCAGGGTCTAGTCGTGCAGATCATGTGAACCCACATGTCTTTAGTTTACCCACAGGCCGAAAGGTTGGGAACTCTTCCATGCAGGATCAGTGGGATGTTGATTGCGCTTCTCATTTGTAGCCAGTGTCCACCGGCCCATCAGTGAATCAGGGTTGGGGGCGGTCTTAAGCGGACAATGGGTCGCTAAATCTTGACTTTTCAGAATACAGTGGAATGAGCCAAGCGGGTAGCTGTTTGTCGAGAGCCGAACGGGAGGAGTAGAACAGGGGCTGGGCAAGGTCTTGGACTGATTGCCGCATGACATGTAAAATTGCAACTATGCACATTAATTACTGTGCACATGTGGGGCACTTTGCGCACTGAAGGCCTACTTTTGCATACATATGGGTATGCTGCTGCTAGTGCTGCAACATGATATGTTAGTGCTACATTATGGAATGGTCATGCATGTAGGTAGCGTGTTCTAATGCTGCATGATGTTTTATGTCATTGCTGCGTTGTCACATTGATCCCATGGTGAGCAGCGCAGCAAACATGCAAAGCCAACAACACCCTGCAACCAGACAAGCTGCTGCCCAAGAAGTTGTGGCAAAAATATAGGCAGAACAAGAGGAAAGAGCCAGACGTATAGATGAAGAAAGCAAAGGCAGCAGGCAGCAGAACAGGCAGCAGCACAACAACACGCTGCAAAGAGGGGTGCTTTGCACCACCCAATTGCTTTGCAGACGTTCATGACACAGTGCTTTGCCGCAGGCCCAGCAGTTCTTTGCAGTTTGGGTATTTTGCCGTACTAGCATAGGTGAAGTCCGTGTTCTTGATGAGGTTGGTTTGTGCCTGACCTATCCTGGGCCAATCCTGATAAAACAGGGCATAAACCATGTATGGTAAGCGCTTCCTGAAACTAGTGAGGGCTATTTCAGTTTTATCTGAATGCCTACATTTCAATTTAATGATAATTTCTATTCTTACTCGTTGTGGCGATACCTCAAAGTTAGACCCATGCAATCCTAGTCCCGTGAAAGCTTTCACTGATACCCATTGCGCTGAAGCCATGACAATAAAAGGTGCTGAAATTTTGTCAACCACAACGTAAATCTAATCTGTCAGTGAATGTCTGACACTGAACACACAGAAACTGATAAACTACTGTTCTGACCTGCCCCACTCACCCTACTCTCCGAACATCAACCCCTTTTTGACAATCATTGCATGTAAAGAATTGTTTTGCAGCAGCTATTTCAACCAAGAATTGCGTTGCGGCAGGGGAATATGAATTGAACTATTGGGACCTGAAAGAGAGAAGGGACTAAATTTACTACCACTTACACACCAACAAACTACCACTTGTCATGGACGTGCCTTCTATGCGTTTTTCCGAAGCCTGTCACCCACCCTGAAATTCAACGTTCTTCCTCGAGAAGATGACCGTGGCATGGCACACAACAGCAGCTGTACAGGTAGGCTTGCAACTGGCTCATATGAGTGCATAGATGCACAAATTGACAATCCATTCTATGAAGCCCTGTAGGATCAGGAGTTGAAACGTTTGTTTGTTGGCACTGCTAGAAACCTGTTCTGTTTTTTAATGTATATATATATATACACAATAAATTTGATCTCTACACCCTGGGGGTAGGTCAGCCAGGGGTCAAAACTAACAATAGATGTCACTCGTTACACTACATCATACTTGTATTGTGTTTTTGTACCTATTTCTTTATGCTGTGCACATGTAAATATATAGCAACATATTACATAGGTGCAACATACAACCACAACGTGTGGAACCATCCCTCTCAGAAGAACGGGGTGCTGATATGCGTTGGTCCAAGGTGATGAGGTGAGCTTTTCCTTGATGTTCAACAGCAAGGGCGAGCCACAGGTCGAGCCATGCCGAAGCCACATCCGATGTGCGACGTCCGAATGTCCAAACGGCCATTGCCGAAGGAACGCCCATGCACTTGTTTCTAGCAGCTTCTTGTTACTACTAGTAAGGCACTTGTTACTAGTAGCGATGCACTTGTTACTAGCAGCTTCTTGTTACTAGTGATGTTTTTGCCCGTGTTGTTGTGATTCTTGGACCTTTACATTCTTAACGGGCCCGCTAGGGACTACTGTGTTGCTCTAGCCGACTGCCTCAGCATTGTGAAGTGGTTTGGGCAGGCAGATTCTTTCTTGGTTCACCCTTTCTGGCTCCTGGCCGGGGGTGGCAGCCAACACCACCACTTACATTTTTGCATGGTACTCACGAAGTGTCACTCCAAAAAGGGGACACATGAAGTCATGAAGTGCCTTCAATTTTGATGATTACGATTGCATAATGGCGTTTCACTCAGTGTTTCACTCATATGACTCATATTGGATATATATATATATAATGCTCCAAGCTCAGGCATACGATAGGGGACTCACAAAAAACAAGTACATTGCGACAAGGTACCAAAACATTGGGGAACGAGTGGGGACGATAGGGCCACGCAATTTGGCGACGCAATAGCTGGACAATGCTGGACACAATAAATGTTAACCGTACCTCGTATGGATACCTTCCCATCAAGGGGTCAAGAAGACTCTTCCAACTCGTGTTTTGTCAGTTTGGCAAGGTGCTGGGCAAGATAGTGGACTCAGAACAACTTATTTAGCCGTAACCCTGGTCCCTTTCAGCTGGATCCAAGTGCCGGCCCGGTACAGGCACGCAATGTAACCAAGTTGGAGGATATGGTGACCCAGCCCTTGGTGGTGAAGGTGCTGCTGCGCTGAGTCGAGTGCCGATGTGCTCCATGGGAAGTCGCATGGGGAACGAAAAACAATAAAAAACACAATGCGCAAGGTGAGACTGCAGGGGGGTCCTTTGACTAGCCTTTTTTTTTGCATTATGTAATCAGAGTAGAGGGTACAAATACAAACAATTTTCCTGGTGATTCTACTTCTCCGCAGTTGAACGTGGTTTGTGGTTTTGGGTTATTTACTCAGATCAGAGAAAGAGAGAGAGAGAGACCTCATTCATGGGATTCGAAGGTGGTTTGATTCTCTCTTGATCCTTTTTGATCGTTTTTGGAGCACTTGGGAGCTCACAGGTCCCAGAAGACGGGAGTTCTTACCCGCCCCTTGGGCGGCCCTTGCTGCTCCACATCTTTGGAGTTTGGGGGTCCACCGCTTCAGCTGGACCGAAACGGCAAGAGACTGGTCGACATAGCTTTGAAACTTTGCTCGTTGTTTCTATCATTGTTTTGTTCGGGCCTGGCCAGGATCCAAACCTCATGGATGAGAAACAGGCTCGGCCGCGGACCAATCTGGAAAAACATGTGCAAACCCTCATGGATGAGTGGATAGCAGGGAAGGGTCAGGTGGATGATGTGGATGATACAGCTTGAGTTGTTCTTTAAAGGTTGTATAGTTGTTGTTCATGTTCAAGTGTGTCGTTCTTGGTGTTCAGATCTCGCTACGTTTCTGCTTTTTTTTAAACATGTTTGACTTATTAACGGTTAACGGGCCAGTGCGGGCGATGGGTAAGATAAATCACACCAGATTGATTGAGCTTCACATCGTTGAACAGTTTAACACGATCCTGCAATATGCTGGCCGATGACCACAGGATCCAAACAACCTGGCCAGATTTAAGTCTGCTTTGAGTGTCCGGGATTCCTTTACTGTGGCCAGTTGCATTCCGTCGTTTTCAAGGCACCTCAACAAAACCCACTTTCACAACTTGGAATCTAGGAGGTTCTGGAGATTCCAGATTCTCACTGGACAAGCTCTCAAACTGAAGCATTACTTTCATTCTCGTAGTGTTCGTTCGACCACCGCAGGGGCGAACGCAAGATGAGGTTCTGCGCCCCGCTTGTCCGGCGACATACGAGCCCTAGAGATGCCCAAGCTTCGTCAGTCACCAGCTTCAACGAAGCGACCAACGGGCGCCTTGGTGGGCCCTTCCATGATGGCTCAAGCATGGAGATGGTCGGCCAAGAGAGCCAAACGATTGAGTCATGCACGCGGACGTCCGCAGACGTGATTTTCTTCGACAGTTTCGCATACGACTTCACAAGAGGTGCTGAAAGCAGAGCTGTTACCATATTTGGTAGGCACGGCACGACTCCCAAAACCAACCCAGTCCAGTCCTAGAGGTGATCCACCATCCACCAATGCTTGGGCCCCGATTGTCCGATGAGCACCTCACCTTGCGCGGATGGTGGCAGAACCATACGAGTCATGCTCTTGTCCATCTCTGGCATCGAGCTGTGCACAGTCGACGTGCCAGCAGAGATCACCGTGAGAGGCCTCAAAGACCAGGCCAGGATCCGATCATAAGACTTCTCGGAGGTTTTTCCTAGTCTTAAAAGTGTATCGAAACAGACAGAGCAACATGAACAATACATTCACCTACTGTATAGTTATATAATTAGGTAGGCAGAGTTTCGTCTTTGAAGCTTTCGGAAATTCCAAGATGTTGTTTGTTAAATGATGCTTTTCTGGAGAAGCGCGCGGCTTGGAGCCTGGAGGCTTCCTGATTTTTGTCCGATGAGGGGATTTCATCCCAAGGTGTATGATGTTCCAAAGGCTAAGGTTGGGCTTTCCTCCAGAGTACAGGACGCTTCTTCCTCAGAGTGAGAAGTGTGTTCCCTCCTTCTTCCATTGATTCGTGGGTAATTGTGTCACGTCCAGATGACATTTTCGTGGACGCATCCTCGACGCCGGGCCACATACTGTTATATAGATCTGGAGACGATATTCTATGATATTTCTGGTTCCAACTATGCAAAATGTGAGCATTTCCGATGGTTGTATCAATGCAAGGCAGAAATTGTTCACAGTTGGAAGATCTATCGGTATAGATGTTAGAAGCATTCCCCTCAGCCAGTTGCTCAGCCAGTTGCCACGGACAAGACCACCAGGTCTTCCGCACGGGCGCGTGCAGCGTGACGGTGGCGGATCAGATCTGCTTTGGTGCGGAAATCTGGGCGGAGGAGAGCCAACCCTTCAAGCAGCTGGACGCGGCCGAACACCAGGCGCTTCTTCAGAGACAATGAAGTAATCCTGCCCAGGTCGCAAAATACAGAGATGTGACAAGGGAAGCACCTTAGATATTGATGTGTGGGTGGGGTCCACAACTGTTTATTATATACATGTTTGGGAGTTGTTCACACAAGCCACAGGAATGTGTTGGTCTCTGATTTTTTATAATCGGGCCCATAGGATGCCTCAGGTGGAAGTCACCTGGGTGAAGAAGGCAGGCCGGGGGAACGTCAGGTTGGCACAGGAACTTTTTGGACTCATGATCAATGACATGGAAGGTTCTTAGCAAGTGATATGCGAAGTTCTGAACAAATAAGAACATCTTGTGAAATCCTCCGGATTCAATTTTCATAACCTTCGTACTGACATGGACAACGGACAACGTAATAGCATCCCTTCCTCGTGTGTGTGTGTGCCCGGAACCTCTTACTCAGCTCAGCTGCATCATGTTTCGTCCCGGTCGCTTGCACCGTTGCTACATGACGAAAGGAAGGCAGCCGCCAAGAAGGTGATTGCTTCTTCTACACAGGGCCCAGCGTGCACCTGGATCTCAAGATCTACAGACACTAACATGGAAATGACTCATAACCAGTTGTCCCTATAAGCAGGGAGTTTCCGGTTGAGTATTTCAGCAAGCAAGTTGTTTTCTTTAGATAGTTATTGCTATGTGGTCAAATAGCACTGGCAAACTGGTAAGACAACAAAGTAAGAAGACTCACTGGCTAACTGATGCTAGCTGTTGATGTTCAAGTATGGCCAGTGGCTCGGCAGACTTGGCCAGTGATTTGCTTGGCCTCCGCCCCAGGGGAATGAAGTCCTGAAGTGCGAGTTGCGATTGGTGTCACAGTTTCATTAAAGCTGCGTTTGCAATTGAATTATTCTGGATCAGATAGTTCAATTCATTATTTTGCAACTGCTGTCACTTCAGGCAGAATCTCACACCAGAATCATCGATTGAGCATGGTGCCCTTTGCCGGATTGTGCTCGCACCGGACAAGATCACACGCGACTATTGTCACGTGGCCGCTGGGACGCAACGGGATGCTTCACACGGAAGGGCGAAATTGTGTCCTGTGGTCAGTTGTGGCCAGGCCGGCAGCTCATGCCCTCTTTTTGTTGATTCAAATTTCCGCAGACATATACGGATCTATAAGTGTTTTGAGACGGTGGGAGTTCGGTGGGACCTACTTCAGCAAAACTCCCAGCGTGGTGAAACCTCTCCGGAGCACCATGGCTTGCCACTCGAGCGAGCGCCAAATAGATCGATCAAAGAGTGAGAGCAAATCAATGTGAAAGATGCGTGTAGATGACATGTAGAAGGACATGTTTGTTGTATTTTGCTCAGGTGTAATTTAATCAACTGAATTGGCACGGAATGTTTGCCATGACTCCTCCAAGCTTTCAGCATTTGGGCACCTCACACTTGCATACCAGCGCAAACCACCATGCATACACTTCGCACAGTCGCGCCTTGGTGCCATGGGTTGAATGGACGGGAGCAACCAACATACATTCTTGACATTCTTGCAAGAGGCTTCAGACCTGAACAGTAGGGCCTAGTAACCTAGTAGGGGTGTAGGCATCGGCTTAATTTTGGGGAGTCATTTGGAGATCCCTCCTCAAACTACCCAGCTATATACCTGGTTTTTTGAGTCGATTGGCCCACACCTGCGTCCACCCTGTGGAGTGGAGTCGATTCGCCAAATTCGCCAGGAGTTTCCAGACTCGCGCAGCGCGCGCACGAAGTTCATGGTGCACCAGGAGCAGCTGTCGCGCAGCGCACCTCAGCCTCCCACGGTCGCCGAGCTCAAGGACCAGGGTGTCAAGGCAGCTTGGGTTGAGCTATGGTTCTTGAAACCTCAAGAGGCCTCTAGTTAGGTAGGTAGCCCCGAAAATGACGAATAAAAGCACCCAGGTCCGTTTCATTCCCTTTCGAAATGACAGGCTCCGTCGTGAGTCCCGTGAAGAGGATTCTTTGGATGATAAGTTTTGGATTCCCTGTTTTCTATGGGAAAAGCTTTTCCATGGGAGAGGCTTTCTTTTTCCGAGCATGGACATCACGGAGACTGCATTTTCCCACCCCTGGCAGCCACAGAGCCCAGTGGTTTATCGAGTGGCTCCATTCTTGCTTGTTGCTTGTCCTTTTGCTTTTCAGAATGGTATCAAACAATCATGGAAGATGATGACCCCATATCACACCCCTTGGCAGAGCAAAAAATGAGCAGGCCCATGTTCCACTTCCATGATTGTTTGAGGGAGGGGCCGTTGCAAGAAAAAAAGGGTGCTCTCACAAGTCACTCCAAGGATCCAGGACCCTAAAGTCCCCTCAAAAGTCGAATGATTTGCTATGTCTAAGGTGAAGTTCGTTGTGCTGACGTCGTGCTGACGTCTTGGAGTGTCTTCCCATCTCAGGTGGGTGAACGCTTCTTCTACGGTGGCCCTCTTCGCTTTCAAGGCGGGTCCACCCCCGCCCGACGTGTCGGGTCCACCGCCTCGGCCCAAGGCACTCCATCCCAAGGGACCTTTTGGGCACTCCACACCTCTTGGGACAAAGCAGGGGCCCATGTGGACTCGAACGTAGTGACACTGATGGGGAGTCCAAACGCAAGTGCCTTTCAGATCTGTTCGATCAACTGGCAATGAAACGACCTATTCAAAGGCGCGAGCAAGAAGAGACTCCTGAGAACTTCGAGCAACAGGACCATAACAACAGGAACCCTCCAGACAGGCTTTTGAACGCCCGTCCGAACGCCCGGCCCATGATGCTTGGTGTGCCTTTCCACAGGACTTGGCATTCTACGGAGTGGAGCCTTGGGAGAGGTCGTCGACGCTGGCCTGATTGAAGGGAGTGTCCGCTTGCACTTCCATGGCTTCCCAGCGCTGTGCTCGGTGGCATGCTGAATTGAAAACATTTTGGCCAGACAGATCTCCTTCATTATGTTTTTTGTTTGATTTCTTGTGTGGTCTTAGGATGTCTTAGGATGTCTTAGGGCAGTCCTAGACTCCTAGATGCCTTAGTTTTCCTTCTAGTTGTGTGTGTTTTTAGCTACGACAACGGGAGATCTGCATGTTCGTGCCTTTTGTCTTCTTCGGCATCTCCGTGTCTGCGCTTCCCACCTCCGTGTCTGGGCTTTCAGTCAGGTGGAGCATCAACATTTGTGGACTCAAATGCCTCCCAGTCGGCTGGCCGAACTGTGGGATCGCTGGCTATGGCATCCATTGAAGGGTCTGCAGCTGCTCGGGGAAGTATTAGGCGGCGTTTCGTGAAGATCATGGAAGATCCTTGTTGGTTTTGAATCTGTTTCCTCCAAACCTATCTGAAAGAGCCTCAGGGACCCACCTTTTGCCCTATCCGCGAGTCGGACGTTGGCGTGTCCGACTCACGTCCAGCACGCGTCCAAACGGTGACGCAGACCCGGTGCTTTGACCTGTTCGGGGGCCGTGGACTCCTCCAAAATTCATCATGGAAGGCTTGCGGAATATCATCCGGATGAAGATGCTCCAACAAATGCGGCCGACATCACCGATGTGTCATCAGCATTGGTACAAGGTGGCCTTTACAACGTCCCCCCACCGGTAGGTCACAGTGCGTCCACTCAGCTTCGACGCGTGGGGCTTTATGAATATGATGAATCAAAAGGGCTTCCACCCGCCGTGAAGTATCCTAAAGTCACAGAGGCATGGTGTTGACATCAATTGTGGCCATGCTTCACCCATTTCAGTTCAGGAAGCCCCAGAAACAAAAAAACAACCATACAGCTTATTCGTTCCGAGTCACCAACATGGACGACGTGGAAGACCAACTGTTTGTGGATAAATATGGTCACCCAACGGGCCATTTCCACTTCCATGATCTTCCACGATTGTTTCAATGAGTGTACGTGTTGAGGCTTGGTTCGCCATGCGTTCTGAGGTCCCCAGCACATCGGCATGCACCTCAAAGTCCAAGTTTATATGACCTTTTGCCACGCAGCCTGCGATGGGCACTGAGATCCTCTGGTGGCATCTCAGAACTGATTCAGAACTGATTCTTGGAGTGGCTCTCACTGAGGAAGAAGAATGGCTGGTAGGTGAAACCCTGGCATTTTGTGCCCCACCTTCCCCCTGAAAGAGGGACTACCGCGTACGGCCTGTGGAGCGCAGGCAAGCAGTGGCTTTTTGCACGCAGTGTAGGTATATCCCTTGAGCCTTGAGGAATGCGATAGACGACAGTCAACCCTGTGTGACAGGAGTGTTACTTTTTGTGTCTCAGGAGCCCACACAAAAAACAGCGCACAAAACAATATGACGCACTTTCCTCATCCTTCAACCCATTTCAACCCTATAAGAATGATTATATTAGTTTTGCCAGTTCCTGAACGCAAAGGGATTGTTCCACGGAGGCGTGTTCCTTCTTCTTGGTTCTTCTCACTGCTTGTCCAAGGAACAGGTTGGCCAGTGAACATAAGATCATTTGACTGCACAACTTCCTTAGACTGCTTCAGGCAGATGCCGTTTCCTGCCACAAAAAGATCAACATGTAGACTAATGTAGGCAACACGTACCAATGGGTTGTCTATGCTTAGAGTTCCTACCACCCATTACCACCCACAGGACCCATAGAGTGCTCCAACAACTCTTCAAAAACTACAGGTGTAAGCTGAGCTCTGTGTGTGTGACACTGTGAATGAACATTCCATTCAGAAGGAACAATTCTCACAAGTGTCTCGTTTTGTGTGTGGGAGTGCGTAGGAAAGAAAGGGTTCTATACTTTCTTTAAACACATTAAAGGATCCTGGCAACCATGTTGCTTGCCTGGCGTTCATAGAAATTCTGTGGTTCGGCGGAAATTCCTCACTTCACGAATGTTCCCTCACTCCCCGGAAATGGTTTCAACTTGGAAGGTGACTAATGAATTATTGCATTTTTGAATTATATGTATTCTGTAGATTTGCATGTGGGTTTTCTTGGCGCTTCTCGAATCACCTCCCGAGGCAAAGTCCTTCTCTTGTTTGCGTTGTGTTTTCTCCCCGTTTTGGCACGTCGTTTCGCTGGAAGAGTTCGACTCCGACAACTGATGCTGAAGACAATGAGACGCTCGAATGGGAGTTGAGGGCAGAAATGCATGTCTTTTGCCTTGATGGAGAAACACAGAAATTGAGTGTGTGTGTGTGTGGGCCAATGTGGGTCAAGAGGATGAAAGCAGTTTCTGCACTTTGAAGAGCAGTGCCTGGGTGTCTCACACGGCTGAGTTCTGCGAATGTTTCGACCAAACTTACATGAAGTCAGTTGCAAGAGCCGAGCCAAGCTGAACTTCAAAAAAGCGCACAACAGAGCCTCGTAGTATTTGGCACGCATGTTCCTGCATTGGAACAGGGTATATCATGTGGCTGAGGATGGGAAGGCCCCCTGGCCCAACGAACAAATTGGTAGATGCTGGCAATGCAGTCCATGTTCCTTACTGCAACTAAGAATGGGCTTTACTTTATAATTGTTAATTGTAATAATATATACATTATACATTTTATACCCATGTCTGTGTTTTTTGAAGCTTCTACTTAGGATGTCTTCCAGTGTCAGACGCCCTAGTTTCTCAATTGAACTGGTTCGGAAGAACAGGCTCTTACTCAAAAGGGGATGGGGACCAGAGATCTAGTAACATGCAGTGAACATGTTCACAGGCCACCAAGCGATCTATGTGAAAGCAACATAGATCCGCATAGACATGGACTTGGACACCTTAGTTCTCCGCAGCCGGCGACGTTCTGAACACCGTCCTTTGGCCCAAGTCACCGGGCCCGTCTTCGCCGGAAGTGTACCTGTTTTTTTGTGATGCAACAGTTGCCAGAACCTTCTTCAGAAGGTAGTGGTGACCCAGAATCAATCATATCCTTGTTTAGTTTATGTTGTTAAGCCTACTAAGTAAAGGAAACAGACTCTGGCTTAGTTTAGCTTTAGATGTTTATTTTCTAGTTCCACTTCTTGTATGAGGCAGGTTTTTCAATGTTTTACATGCCCAGATGGAACATCCAGACCGTTAAGAGTTCGCCACCGTTGTAGCTGTTGATCCACAACTATCATTCAGCGCAGCTGTGGTCGGCATGAGGGCCATGGCATCCGGAATCGCAGTGCCGCTGCTGTGCGACTTCGGAAGGTCCAGCACAGCCGGCGGGACTGGACTGGAGGGAGGGAGGGAGCCTGTGTGTTCTCGAGTGCCCTCCAGCCGGCACTCGCTCCATCACTCTCGCAGATCCGGGCAGCTCATCGAAGCCGGTGTGGACTTGGGCCGGCAGGCGGGGTGGACAAAGCCGTTGGTGTGGAGTGGTGAAGGCTCAGGCTGCCGAGGGTTTTGACTGACAGGGGACTGGCCCAGCCGCTAGTGAAGTGAAAATGAAGCTTGTTGGAGCTTCGGGGATGGTGGAGGGCCAGGAGGAGTCCTCCATGGTTTCAAGTTTTGGGGCTAGGAAAAGTGTCGAACTCAGAAATAAGATGAAATAAGGAAGTGACACAGAAGGAACAAGTTGAATTGGGAACGTGGAGACGCCCCTTTTCATGCGTCAAAACTGGAACAGGAACTGCGTCTTCTGGGTGCTTAGAATGATGATGACTTCAAGTCACATACAGTCACTATAGTCCTTGACCTGTTGCCTGTGGAAGTGAAGCAGTGGTGTTTACCTATCCGGTACAGAAATTGACCGCTTGGGATCGAGGATCCATACTTCGACCCCTTTCGGAAGCCTTGCAATTTTGAAAGCTCAGTGTCTGAGCAAACCACCGCGGGGAATTGAGCTCAGATCAGTGGTGTAGAAGTACGGATGATGTTTGCCAGCGCTTGTACCATCAAGTTCCAGGTGGACTCAGTCTCCAAAGCGGTGCAGACCGAGCCTCGCAAAGGAAAGGCCCTTGGAGGCAGCGCCGTCGACTGCGAAGATCAATCAGAACAGAGACAACTGGTTGTAGAATTTTGCAGGCATGTTGGTTCGAAGGCTTGGCAAGTAACATGTGTTTCCGTTCGGCAATGATAGGACTATGATTGACTGTGGTAGGATCACAAAGGCAGAGACTGTGAGCATGTTAACCCAAACCAGAAACCCTTTGGCGGGTTGGTGTGTCTATACGAACGTGTGGATTGAAGAGGCAAGATTATCTACTAGAGCATCGTTCAAAACCTTGGTGTTCATATTGATTATATAAGGGCCTGGACAGAAGGATGGAAGGATGCTTTGCGCAAGCACCAACCTGAATTGCGTAAGTTAGGTTGCGTAAGCAATCTATTGCTGATGCACTAGCGCAAGCAAAGTGCGGAAGCTTTGCTTGACCATCATGTTTACATATGTTTGCATGTATTTGGGCTAAGGACAAGTCAAGCGTGGCGCAGAAAGTTTGTCGTTATTTGATAACGTAAGCCTGTATAGCCTAAAGTCAGTCGCGTAAGCGGAGCGGAGCAATCATTGTGGGGTGTTGCAGAGTTATGAACTCCGCAAGGGCTTGGACCCTGCAAAGGATTCCTATAATGTGACATGACCCTGCGATAACCTTGGTGTTCGTCCACATGTGCACCTCCAGCCTTTGGACGCTCTGCCGAAAATGTGCACCTCCTGGAATCTTGGAACTTTGTTGGAGCCAACCTTCCAGCTTTGTTAGCCATTCACACCGTTATATAATATGTGTATATATATATTACATATGTATTATATTTTTTATATAGGTCATATAATATGTGTTTTGTGTTTCAATCTCTGCGGGTGGCAACTGCCAAAGCGGGTCGGGCCCATGGAACGCTGCGAAAGATCGGGATCTGACGGTCAAAAAGGGGCCGACCCTCAAAGATCTGTAAAGTTGCTGATGTATAGCTGAAACGACGCGTTTTGATGTATCGATCATATTCTGGTCTATTTTTGATTTATGGTACAACATGACATTTCGGATGTGTCATCAGGCAGGCAGTAAAGTTCCTGTGGGTAGTTTCCCCCCCACACTCAATTGGAACACAGGCTTAGCAAGAACACACGGGCGTGACCGGCTGTGACCGGCCTGGACAGGCGAGTCACCCTGGCGCGAGAAGCGAAAGGCTGACGAAGCTGAAAGGCCGAGCGCACAAAACATGGCGCGGAATCAGTGCGGTAGCGTTACACCCGGGTTCTGAGACCGGAACCGGGCGAACGGCGTGGACCAGACTGGAAGATGATGTTCCGCGTGAATACCCAGTGGTTTTCAGGTGCCATGTTATCTTCAATATCTTCCAAGGCGTAGCCTTTTTTGAGGTTCCAGCCAACCATTAATGGACCTTCCATTCGCAGGTGCGAGGCGCCGATTTCGGGCGGAACTGCGAGCAACGCCCGTTTGCTGCAGCTGGCCGTGGGGCTTTTGGGTTTGGAGATCCATGAGAAGCCCAATACTTGGGCCGAGGTGCCTTGGATGGGAAGACCTCCACAGCGAAAAACCATGAAAAGCCTGGATGAGACCGGTTCCCAGTGGTTCACGTTTTGTTCCGAAAGACCGGTGCCCATCGATGCACATCGATCGAATGGACCAATGGATCATACATCACGAGGTCCATCGGACAAACTTGCGTCTCTTCCTCTTGAGGTCCAGTTCGTGGCATTAACGTGAAATAAGTTCATCGTTGGGATTTCTGATCCAAGCAAGGGGTAGGCCCAGTTTGTATTGCTTATAAAGTGACCGATTGGAGCGGTGAAAGTCGGGCATTTTCCCAGACTAGTCTCCTTGCCTTGGAGCTTTGCGAAGAATTGCCCTTGCAGATATCAAAAACATCAGTTCTCCAAGACCCCTCCGAAAAATAGCTCTTTACAGGGATCCACGTGCACTCGGGTTTGGGCCTGTTTGGTGGTGCAACTCCCTTTTTTTGAACGGTTTCTTGGATCAGCGGTTTCGGCGTTCACAGACTTCTCGCAACGATGGCACGCCAAATTTTCGACCGCCCATAGAGTCGGAGTGGGACCGTCTCCTCATCCCCGTCTCCTTTGAGGTCCAATGTTCGACAAATCTCCTGAATTTCACCTGTTTGCCTAGAGCTTATGTCGACTCCAAGGTGATGCCAGGAGTGTGATGCATTTTGGTGCAATTCCCTCAGGTGTGGGTTCCCAGTTTCTGGTGGGCTTCCCTACCAGAATCCCCGTTTCCGTGGCCCCCAAGGTGTGGCTACGCTTCCAGGAGACGCGGTCGGCGTCCAGTCTGGTTCGGTTCAGGTCGATGGAGCTTCATCGGGATGATCGGAGTCAGGAACCCGGGAGAAAAGCGGTCCAGCTTTCTTTAGGAAGGTACATGAGGGCACCATACAAATTGAACCCAAAGTGATCCAAATTGAACCAAACGTTGTAACTTGTTCGTTGCGTTTGTTCCTTTGGTGGTGCGATGCTGTACTGGAAGCCTGGGCCGCAACTTTGAAGAGTACAGTACTCGGCATGCACTTGGCAGCCATGATCAGGAAGTACCGCATATATGGGTTATGTTACATATGGGGTGATTGACCTCAAATCCTACCTGATCCATTTTGCATTTTAAAGCCACTTACCAAGTACGGCAACACGGTTTAACCACGTTTTGAAGCTGAAAACGGACCGAGCAAGTCTAGCAACTAGAAGCTCTCACCACTTGGACACTTGGATGGAAGTAGGATGATTTTCCAGTAGGCCCAAGAGTGGGTCCGATGCTTCTTTTTCTCAGTTCAAAGGAAACGTCTTCCTTTTGTTCCGGCTTGTGTTGAGTCTTTGGGCGGCATCACACTTGCATTAGTTACCCAAAGTCTTTTCCTACCTCCAAGAAGAAAATACCATCGCTTGGGCGGCTTGCTTGGCAGCTTGCTTGCAGAACAGATGCTGCCAACCCTCTTTTCAAAACCCCAAGCTACCTTTGACCCATTGGCGACCGAAGGAAACGGACGGAGCGCCGAGAGCTGCGTTTTCGTCGTCAGGAGCCGAAGTTAGCCGAGACCTCCAGCCTTTGGAGCTGAAGGATTGGTGCGGGGTGAGGCTTTTCATCGATGCCCTGCACAAATGGTTGGTTTCGGTCGCAAGAAGCTGTGGCCGAGATCGCATCATTGAATAATTGGTTTTGGAGATCGCTGGGTTGCCTTTGGCGAACTCTCGTTTGTTTGATGTTCAGTCGCCCGGACTCACCAGTGAGTGAGTGGTTGCACGAACAGATCGCAGTCTTGGGGTGAGCAACGGTCCTTTGACGACCGTTGCTCACCGTTACGGACTCCCTTGGATGATGCCCATGCGTTTGGGATGGGGAGGTTCACCAGTTATTTTAGCAAATGAGGGAGAATACATGCTAAGCATGCAGCTCATAGGTTGCCAGTGGGGTGCCAAGCATGACCTGTGAATGTTGTAGGTCTTTGTGGTGTCTACAAAAAATAAAGGGCTGCAGATCGAAACAGAGCTAGCATCAGATGTGCCGCCTTTTCAGAAAAGGTAGAGTCAATGTGCCAATACGACACAAGTAATTAATCTGAAGAAATGAGCGGAATACCTTCAGATACAGCTGGAACTATATACCGTTTAGCGGTCACCTGGCAAGACTACCTCCTTGCTTTAGAACACGGAGGGTCCCAGGATGTGAACTTAATTACACGGACAGGGTAAGAAAATACGCACCGATTGAACATCCACGGCAACATGCTTACTGTACATAATCCTTTCAACGAGGAACCCGTTGTATTTACCCTGCAGGATTTTGGAGCATTTCCCATGTTTGAACTGTGTGAGAGGACATTTGACCCCCTGCCGGGCCATGATGGAGATTCTCAATGATTCTCATCCACTCCATGATGACTACACTGACTACACATCTGCGGTTGAATCATTGACCTGAGGTCAACCCGCAAAGACCGGGAACTTGTTCGATGACGAGAAAGGCCGTCGACACAGCGAAGGAACCCCCGCCGAGTGGCAGCAGCAGGCCCGGCAGCCGCGATCGAGTCAAGGACGTGCGAATTGACTGCAGAACCCGTAGCTGGACATGGTAGCAATGTAGACTGTTGATTAATAGAACACCCCCATTTGCGAGTCTGAGCGCGCCCACACCAACCCTTACTGGTATTCAGTGGGTTTGGGTGGTAGTGTGAAACTCAGAGGAAAAGGTGAGATAAACATGCCAAGGAGCTCTGCAGACAACAGTTGTAAAGCCTTTTCAACTTGATATAGCTTTTTAATCAACAGTCTACAGTCTACATGTAATTATTCTGTCACTCTGGTTTTGAGAGGCTTGGAGTTGTCCTTTGTGTTTTTGGGTGGAGGTCAGGTGTAAAAGGAAGGAGGTACTGTAAGGTGTAAAGGCTATGGGGCCCTGCTTTTTTTGCAAACATGTGTCAACATTTGATCACGGATCTCATGCCTCAAAGCTTTGAACCCACAAAAGTCAAGGGGCCCAGGCGAGCGAGAAGGGATCCAGGCGAAGCATCAAACTTTGGGGCACCTGCTTCAGACGAGCCCACGCAGTGACATCTAATTGCTTGCTGAATGCACAACGTTCCTTCGCCCCGCATTTGGGCCAGGGGAATTTATTAAGTAGGTGTTTAATCCCCGACCAATCTTGTTTTTTCCTCCCATTTGCATAGATCAGATGACATTTGATCGTTTCATCCTGGTCTATTTTGGTAGAATTTGCCCAAATGAGATCCAGGAGAAGAATACCTTTCCTTCATCCCCACCTGTGCCCGCCAGGTCCTTTCGCACCTGAAAGAGCTCCAAAAGCTTCAAAACTCCAAGCTCGTCACAAAGGATGAGGAGCACCAGCTCTGGGAGAACCTGGACCTGGCGGAGCACGCGCTGAAACGCATCGCCCATGCGGTGAACCTGCTGCAGGACGGTCGTGTTTGGAGTGGAGACAGAGCATGACATCAGGGCCAGGCATGGCGCATGACATGCTGCGGTAGTAGGTGTCAGCGTGCGCCAGCCGCTCGAACGGAGGACCCCAATGGACGCCACCAGCCCATGTGCCTTGGATCGCCTTCAGACTCGTGGGGGTGTTTTGGCAAGAGATGGGAAACTATACATTGGGGTAGACATTTGGATATGTCACAGGGCTGTTGGTGCACCGGTTGGTTGGTTGGGTTGGGTTGGGTTGGGTTGGGTTGGGTTGGGTTGATTGGTTGGTTGGTTGCTTGGTTGCTTGGTTGGTTGGTTGGTTGAAGGTCCTAAGTATGCCGTACGCCTCGCGGGGCAGGAGACACCGATCAGCGATCACGACAATATACTATACTATAATATACAGAATGTCTACCCGTTTTAACCATTTTGGCTTGCAAAGACACAGGACGTTTTACACTTTTACTCGATCTTTGTGTCTCAAATTGTTGGTTGACCCTGATCTCCCGGAGAAGGACCTGTAAAATTCCATTGAACACCCACTTCGCTAGTGAGATCCCAGCAAGACACCAAAAAGAGAGCGACCTTGAGCGCTTGGGGTTCCTCGGGTCTCCGGGTTCCCACGGCTTTCAATTGCCCAATCCCGAATGGCCATTGCGAATTCGGAGTCTTTTGAACCGACTCTGGCCCAGAACACTGGTCGCCCACGCTCCTCCGAAACAAAGAGGTCGCCCAGAACCCATGAGTGTTTGTTCCATGGGGGCTCTCCGCAGCCGCTTCCTCTATGTCGGGCCGCTTCGCAACACCCGCTTACCCGAGCAGCGTTGACTCCAGAGCGTTTGCAGCACATCCGCGCAGCTGGAACCCAGGCTGCTGCAGGGCTACACCGAGGCCATGACCGGTGAGGTGTGTAACGACTTGAGGCAATGGCTGCAACAGTCCCTTGGATGGTCATGTCATGTCGCTGGTCGTTCGGTCGTTCCCGAAGTGCGAAGAAGTTGAGTGGCTAATTAGACAGATGATGACGACGGGACGAGACGGGAGGGAACTGCTGGTGTCGAAGTGAGGGTGCTCGGGGTCTTATGATTAGGACACATCCGTTATGACGTTTATTGGCCTCTTTACCTGTGAGCTCCACAGGGGATATAGAAACTAATTCAAAATCTGTGGAAACTAATTCCAAATTCAAGAAACTAATTCTAACTATTGTAAAAGGAAACAACAACTCACCAGAAACTAATCCTAGATTTTTGGAAAAAAGAACATAAAAACATCATAATTATACCAAAAAACATCAGAAACTAATCCTAAATTCATACACACACATCAGAATATCATCAGAAACTAATCCTAAATAGTTCAGATAACATCAGAAACTAATCCTAAATAGTTCAGATAACATCAGAAACTAATCCTAAATAGTTCAGATAACATCAGAAACTGAGTCTAAAAGTTAACCACAAAATTAACTATTAATAATTCATCAATGATTTTGTCTCCACTTACAATGAGATAGTGTCCATCCTTGTCTGAACCATAACTGGCAAACCAACCAGAATGGAATTGCAAGAAACCTCACAAGTGATGGCATTGGCCATTGTTCCTTGAGAACCCTAAAATGAGTCCAGTATACAGTATACACAGTATACAAAAGTTCCGGCATCCCAAAAAAAAATATATTTCACGAAAGTGACACATGGTGTATCTTAAGGTTTTGAATGTCTGCTTTGTCACACCAAAGCCTCCCCTGCTGCCAAGGCATCCAGTGAAGTGTTCACATCAAACGCCAGACATGTTTTGCTCACCCCAAGTTTGTGTTCAAAAAGAAGTGTGGTCACAACCCAATTCAACTTGGAATTGTTGTTGGAGGTGCAGGTGTGGGCCCAAAAAGGTATGAATATCAAGGGCCAAACATCATTTGCCAACAGTGAAACAACGTGGCACAACCCAACCCTTGTGCCTGCCCATGCATCACATGTGGCCACTTGTTTTCGCTTGACTCACAAGTTGTTTGCGAAAGTGCCAGGCCTAAGATCTCTGCATTACCCTTGTGACAGAGGCCACGCCTGTGCCTTCACATCTAATGAAAGTCTCTGAGGTCTTGGAGGGCCATCGTAATCCGGAAAAAACTATGAACAGCAGTGGGTAACAGCAGCAATGACTTTGTAGCCATCAAACAATTTGCAACAGACTGGAGCACTCTCTGACCCAGGGACATCCCCAAACCCATAGCTGATTGTGGCTGGCTGCCCAAACAAACAAAGTTACATGGCATTCCTGGTCTTAAACAACGCAAAACCCAAACACAGAGTCAGAGTATTCAGAAAAGTCAGTGAGTGATTGACAGGATAAGTTCACTTTCATTCATTCATGGACCTGACTTGAAGTGTTCCCATTCAGCCAACCACTACCAGCATCAACACACTGGCAAAAACGGGACAACTGCCAAATCTAGGTGGACTTGGCAGCCTTTCGCTTCCTACTCTTCTCAGCCTTCTCAGTCTTACGCTTCTTGCTGACGGGAGCTTCTTCCTCACTCTCACCAGCAGCTGGAGTCACTGCTGGTGCGGATGCCTTACCCCTGCGCTTTGGGGCAGGCTTTGCCTTGGCTTTTGATGCAGGCTTTGAAGCCTCTGGATTCATGCGGTTCCGCAACTCACTTGGAAGATCTGCTTGGGACATCCCCATGGAGCTGACAAATGCCATGATCCTGGACAACGAACCCTTCTCAGTGTAGTTCTCTGAGTGAACCACAAAATCAAGGCACGTTGACCAGGCCAGCACCTTCGATGAGGCGTGCCTGAACTCCTGGCCATGACCACATGTGACTCACATGTGCTAATCCCTGTTCCCTGGACACACATGAATCATGAAAATCAATTAGTTTGAGTTGTTCTGAATCTGTGAAAAGTTGTTTGAAGTCAGTTGTCCATTAAGCCCTGAGGCCTGGACACAAATATTGTAGACTACCATGTTGAACATCTCATATCATTTGAATCATATCATTATCATATATCAATCTATCAAATCATATTATCACATCATTTGAATCGAATCATATCCAAAGTAATGCGAACGGAAGTGGAAGGAAAGCAACATAGCACCTAACTGAGCCATAGAGAACTGAGTGGACCGAAGCATCTCACTGGTCATTTGTCCAGTCACCAGCAACATAAAAAATAAAGGTTGAAACATCACTGTCCTCCAGGTTCTTCTGCACCACTGGCCACTTCCCACCACACCATAGCTCAAGGTCTCCCATGTTGGCCCTGACTGCAGAAACAGCCTTCAAGAAAGGCAGCTGCTGGCCAAGGACGTCTCGGGCCTCCTCCATGCCTTCGAAGTCAGACTTGATTTGATTGTAGGCTGTCTCATCTGGAGGATTCAGTAGCCAGTCAAGGCTCTCCAGATTCCAAGACTCAACGGCTGGGATGATTTTCCTGCCCACAAATCAATTCTAAATTCTAAGTGAACCAATGAAATAATCATTGACATGGAAGTAAATTGGAAAGGTGATTCAACTCACAATCACTACTTGACTTTACAGTACAGACATTGTGACATAGTCAGCCATTGGGTCCATGGGTGCACGAGTCTATAAATTTAGTGGGGTCAGTGGAGCCACAACAACTGCATAAAAATGGAAGGAGCAACAAGTTACTGCAAACAACTCCTGCCTGAATTTGGCCAAAACATCCACGGACTTTTGAAGGTCACCCTCCGTGGTGACAATGAACTTCGTCAACAACTCCTGGAAGGACTTAATGAAGCTCACAGCAAGCTCGTGCTTCTCAGGCAGCATCTTGGCCATGCTGTCCAAATCCAATGCCACAACCTTGAGGTACAATGGCAAGAAGAGCTGCATTCCTGGACCATTGATCTTGTCTGAGAGGGAGTTGTCAATGACAAGAGACTTCTCAGTCCAAAGAATGGCTGTCTGGAGTGTGTGGAGCAAGGTCGCCACCTTGCGAGGCAAGGGCTCTGGGAAGTCTTTGGCAAGCGTTTGAAGGGCCTTGACATCTACTTCCCCCTCCATGTTGATTTTGATCTCACGTGTAATCCCGACTGTGAGCAGGTCACCAAATCGACCTACTGCTTGCGTCACACAGTTCATGACTGGATAGTCTTTCTGCAAGCTGTCTGGAACCAACTTGCCCATGGGCTCCAATGCTTTCGAAAGTTTCTGCCACAACTGCAAGCCATGCTTCATGGTCACAGGTGAGCTTGTGCAGGAGTCTGACACAAACTGGACCAGCAATTGGCACACCTTCCCAACCATCAAGTACTCAGCTTGGCGTGCAGTGGGCTGAGACTTCTGAATGAAGCACTCTGCCAATCCTGCCAAGTAAGAAAGTTTTAAGAAAATGCAATGCAACCTTGACTTTGACTCCTTGACTCCAAAAACAAAACTGTTGATCACATGAATGAAGTATAGAGAACTACAAGGAATGCGGACAGAAGACTCAACTGACATCACTACATCCCAGATCCCTCACACATGCAAAGTTGGGAATGGTTTGGAAACTGTGGCCTGCATAGCAAGCAGCTCCAATGTCGGTGAAAAGCAGACTTGGCTGATGAGCTGAGAGGAGAAGAGAAACCTCGCCGTTCTTGATGTTTGTGCCATCCATGTTCTCATGCCACTGTTTGCCGATAAACTCCTTGAATGTCTCAAAGGCCGCCTCAGGTGAAGGAATGCTGGCAGTGAACTTGGTAAAGGCATCTGTCAGATCGTCCTTGGCCTTTGTCTCGGCACCAGTGAGAGAATCTGATTGCTCGAGGAGCAACTTGCAATCTGGAAGGGCTGAAAGAGCACTGAATTTCTTCATGATCTCATCAGTCACTGGGGTATTATTCTCCATTGCGGCCTGAATTTCATGGCAAGTCATTGTCAAGTTGGCAGCTTTTTCAGCTGCAGCCTTGAGGTCAATGATGGTCTTGGACATGTCGACAACCTTCTGCCATGTGCACCTGCAAAGAAGACTTGGAGAGAGCCCAGGGTTGTTCTGTTTGAGATATGAGATATTTAAATTTTGCAAAAGGGGAACATAACATAACACATGACTTGACTTGACTTGACTCTTAACTCTAAACCATTGAAACATTGTAAATTGTAAACCGTAAGAAACATCAAACTAGAATTTGAACCCACAAAGCAAGTTGGCAATGTCATGTCCTTGTTGCCTGCCTTGGTAGATCCAGGTCTAGGCAGTGTAGTCAGCTAAGTTAAGGACAGGTCAGGTCATGTGTAACCAAGTGAATCTGTCTCAGTCTCAGTCTAATCAGTTTCCTCCCCACCTCAAAAACTCATTGCTTTTGAAGACCAAACCAGTGCGTGCACTGAAGGCGGTAGTCGCACTTGCAATGATCTTCAATGCCTGCTTGGCCTGGTTGTCAAAACTGGGATGGCGCAGCACAGTGCTGCAAGCAAGGAACTTCTGCATGTCTACCAAGATTCTGGTGTTGAGACCGCTTGTGTTGGAGAGAGCAGTGTCGACAAAGTCAAAGCTGAGTGGCAAAGAAGCATCAATGGGCGTCCTGCCAACAAGTCCATACATTCTGACACACCACCACCACTCAAAATGACTTGACCTTGGACCTTGAGTGTGCCTCTGACATGGGACCCTAGCCTGAGACTATGACCCTTCCTTTCACCTCACAGATTTTGTTTTCAGTTCATCAATGTGCAAAGCAAACCTGCAATGGCAATGCAACTGATAAATGAATAGACATAGACATAGACGGGACGTGACATATGGTATGACTTGAAATGGTGATCAGTGAAATGATTCAATGGTTGATATGATATGAATCTGAATCTGAACAACAAAATTAAAAGGACAATGACAATGACAATGTCGGCCAGTGGCCTTAATGGAGCCAAACAAAAAGCCAACACTGGGAAAGGGGAGCCAAACACTCACACAGCACATGAGTC